CGTTCTTCGAGTCACCACGACCTTTGACCTGGAAAAAGGTGTCATTTCGGTTATAGCCAACGCAATCCTTCCAACAAAAGCACCAGGCTGAAGGCTCTGTGCCATTTCTTGTGACGCTTAACTTCCTGTCATCCCGCCATCAACTGCCACAGGCTCTCGGCTCTGTGCAGGACTATTGGACGTATGACTACCTGTCGTCTCCCCATTTAATACAACAGTCTCCTAGAGCTGGGTAGGAATTTGTATCACCTGACTTCCTGTCAGGACACTTCCAACTACTCCAGGCTCAAAGAGCTGGATAGTACCTGGTGTCGATTGACATACCGTCATCGCACCCTAGACTGTGTTGGACACAGCATCAGCCACATAAGCCTCTCGCAAGAGCACATCCTTTCTGGTGTCTTGCGTAGAGCTAGCGACTGTGCGTGTACGTCAGTCAATCCATGGTTGGTGTTTAGCCAACCAAGGCATGCCTAGGATGAGGTCATACGAACTGTCCATACCTGGCACTGTGAACGTCTCTGTACAAGAGAAGTCACTGAAACTGAAGGCGAGTTCAACTTGAACTCCCTCCGATTAACGAGCGCGCCGTTAGCTAAACGAACGATCGCCTCTTCTCGCTTGCCATCCTGGCAAAGCGACTCATAACTCGCCGGTCTCTTTTTCAGAGCCGCGAGTTTTACAAAGTTCAGTGATGCACCCGTCCACGAGGAGGGTCATAGCCTCGTACTCGAGCCTATAGACCAAAATGGTTGAGGTCCGACCTTTCGGAACCTCAGGGACTATGCTAACCATTTGTTCGATCACTCTGAACTTAGAGGTATCTTCAGAGTCCGCGACAGTAGGGCATCCCGCCCCTACTACGCTCCCGCATTTCCCGACCCATCATGGGCAGGTGCTGAACCCGTGTGTCGTGCACGCGGGTTTTTCGCACCTCCCTTCGGGTTGGGAGACCTTTTGCTGGCTGCTTTAGCACCAGCAGCTACTTTGGCATAGCAGCGAGCCATCATATGGCCTCGCTTGCCGCACTTGTAGCAGATCACATCTGCATTGCCTAACTCCATAGGAGTGGCATCAGGCTTCTCGGACGACGGCCTGTAATTGGCTGTCGCCGATGCGCTATTGTAGGATTTCTTCTCAACTAACGCAATGTCAATTGCCTCTTCCATCGTCGCTGGCACCTTTCTAAAAACGGCCTGACGCTATGAGCCGTGCCTAGGTCCATTCATGAACTTGGCCACCTTGATACGTTCCGGTATTGGTTCCCCATTAATGGACGCCGACAGCGAACGCATCTCCTGCACAAATTCTTGCAGAAAGCGTTTCGCCTGTCGTGCTCCAAAGAAGCGCGCCATAAGCAACACTTCGTTGTTAGGCGGCTGATACATGGCGCGAATCTTTGTTTTAAAGATCGCCCATGATGGAAGCGCATCAGCATTTGCCATCAGCACAATCTGACGCTTTGCCACGCAATTTGACATGGCATAAGACACCATCCTGGTGTCGTCTTCGATGAGCTGTGCCACTCCACATTGCTCAACTGCTAATAGCCAGTGAACAATCGTGTGAGGGGTAGTTCCATCAAACTTTGGAGGGTTCATCCGAATGAGCCTCGGTTGAGTATGCCGGGCAGAGAGCGTCTCAACAGTTCTGTTGAGCGCCTCATTACGTGCCTGATCAAGCCTAAGCTCATCCTGAGTCTTATTGATGGAATCAGCGGTGGCTTGGCTGTTTACCTCGGACGCGTTTCTACGCTGTCCGAGCACAAACGCCTCGAATTGCTCCAACTGATCAACATGTTGCTCAGGAGAGCACTTTAAAAGATTGGCCAGGTCTTGTTCACCAAGTCCCTGCACTGAGTGCTCTGCCACCTCCCTATGATGTTGGGAGAGGTGAGGAAATTCACCCAATCCGCGTTGAGGGACATTTGTATCCACATGCAAGCTCAGAAAGACGGGTCGTGGGAGGGACTACTAGTGCTATTAAGTGTAGACGGTCGCTTCGTAAATAATCTGCCACGTACTACGCGGGCACGCATTCAAGCAGAGCGAGGAAGCGGTTATACCGTCTTACCTTCGCGTGCGGTGGTGGTTGCGTTGGTCTGTAGCTTAAAGTGCCGAACCAAACTGTTGTCGGCCGCTTAGAGCGGTCCGCGCAACGAACAACTAAGAAGTGCCTTAATTACGTCACGCAGGAGCTAATTAAGCTTCTCGTGCGCAGTGTGCGATGTTTAGTAAATTCAAGACTGACTTATTTTTTATTTATCAACATAATATAAACTTAAATACTGATTGGCTAATTATGCAAAGGTTAGATACGCGTCTCTTTAGAAGCGTATCCTTACGCGCGAGCTTAAAATATATTTAAGCGCATAGCGCTGATGACGTCTGTCTGAAGCGTCACCATGACGCCCAATCCCAACTGGCATCATCCCCGTTGAATGTGAATCCATACATGTATATCACATTCACGAGAGTGGGTCACATTGATGTGCCACACCCAAGTGGCAGGCCTAAGGTACCTCGTACCCATGTAGGCCTGCCCGTTAAGTATCAAATACTTAACGAACCGTGTAACTTTTAGCCCGTTACACAATTAGTGCCACTACCAACGCCTGCTGCTGCTTTGCCTAAGGAGGAATAGTGATAAAATAGGTTTGATACGGTCCATATGATCTACTTTGGAAGCAGATAGTGACCAAGCCCGATCAAAGACATCCCGACAAACTAGGAGCTACATACCGTCCTGTACAAAGCGACCTACTGCGCTGGGTAGAGCTTTTGCGTGATGGAAGTGAGTGTTGGGGGCAGTAAGTGATTTGACGCTAATGTCAAGTTCAGCCAATTGGAAAAAAACATTGTTTTAAAAGAGTGCACAGCCGTTTCGCGTGGTCATCATATAAATTTCAATTTTTGGAGCCTGCTTCTGGTGCTGGTATGCGAAGGGGTTTATAATCGAAAACTTTCTGATATTTTTCTGACTTTCAAAATTGCGTATAAAACGAGCTAAATTTATGTGAGCTACAAGCGTTTCAGTCACACCAACATAAATCTCAGAAAAATCTCAGAAATCGTTTATAATTTTGGCCGAAGTACTTTACACTAGACTTATTACTATAATACTGTAGTAATAATAATATGCAGACTTCTTTATTGTACGACGTGTCGCCAAAAAAATATGTGTAAGCCATAACTTACGAGAAAATTGCAGTTCTTGGTACGTGTTTACGGTCACCGCTGATTCTGCACATATGCGAGGTAAATGTTACCGCTTCAATGGTGCTACGATTGCATGATGCGTTGATAAAATCTTTCTATAAGCTGTCGGACCAAACTGGCAATAGAAGCTTTGTTCTAATGCACCAGCGCGTGGACATCAAGCTCATTAGTTCGAAACCTACCGTGAAACTTATTGCGTAAAGCTTTAGCTCACGAGAAACAAATGGTAGTTTATGTAATTGACACATCTAAAGCTGTTACCAGTAGTATAATGCAGTGCTATCAATATCAAGCTAACTTTCAACATGAGTGCTTTGATTTTGTTCGGGTTGCTAGATTTCTTCTAATTGATTAATCGGTCGTACAGTATAATACTCTGATGATTTGATGCAGGTTGTTAAAAATAAACAAGGCTTTCAATCGACCAAAGGTGTTTGTTACATTGCAATTATCAGAAGAATAGGCAATACAGATCTCTCTCCAAAATAATTTACTCTCCGATAAGTTACAATATCGGTAAATTATACATTTTTGCGTCCACCGAGGTCGTTCTATGGTCGCTATATAACTTAACGGAGGGAGATCTGTACATAAAAAATCAATACTATACAGTTCGTAGTTGATGTACCACGAAGCAAAGTTCAAGATCGCAGCTCTCCTTCAACATGCACCAGGTTTCATAGCGTATACAATTCAAGAGTACTGAAACATAATCGGACACAATGCAGCTTTTTTCTCACGTTTTGTTTAATTTTTCCTGCAATCCTATTTTATGCACGCAAATTGCTGTTGTTCAACCAGATCACATCTAAGCCAACTGCGTTAACAGTTTTAATGGAATCGTCGTCTTCATTTTCCATTTTGCAACGTCAAAAGCACCACCAAAGCATCGCCAACGTTATCGCCAAGTCAAGTTTCCAAATCAACTCATGTTTCGAATCAACATCGCTTTCGTGTTCATGATCGCGCTGCTTTCAGTCAAGAACGGCATGGGCAACCCACTCTCAACCCCAGCTGCGGATAGTGTTACTGAGAATAATGCCGAGATAGTATCGTCCATCAAAGGTGAACGTGATGTCCAAGAATATTCACCTGGTAGTGTCACCACCAAAGAAGAACGAGATGCGACACCTTTGTCGACTAGCAACGACGACGGTACACTGACTGTGACAAAGTTCAATGGACATGGTTTCAAGCAGACATTGGGTAATCTTTTTGGCATTACCACTCGTCGACTTCGACACGTGTGAAGAGGAATGAAAGATCGGTTCACAGACTTCTCGATACTTGAATAGCATAGTAAACAAATATAATAACAGAGTTGCTTTTTCGTAGTCATGTAATCTGAGGATGTTTGCACTGAAATTGATCAGCTAGATACATTCAAACTACTGGATGATATTATTGGGGAAACTTACAATGCGTGTATCTCTCTTCCTCCTGTTCGGTCGCACTTGCCTTGTATGAGCATGAGGAGTTTATTTTACCCTCCACCCTTCATTACCAGCTTCTAATCTGACATCACATATGAAGTATCAAGTGTACGGAGTCAAATATTCCGACGTCTTGTCTTCTCATATGGATCATTTTTGTTTTCACTAGTATTCTACTTCAATATATAAAATTTGTTCTGAATATTTTACCAACCACATAAGGATTGTCTGTAAAATATGGAACATTCAGAATAATACATGAAAATTGTATGGATGTCAATACAGTAGTACTTACTGAACAATCCATCGTCCGGGATGTATTGAATTTATAACACTTGCATTCTTCCAGCTACTTCTGGTGCGACACATTCATAAAATGCGCCGACTTCATTCTATCTAGCATCTTGAGGTCGCGTTCACCTTTGCGCAACATATACTCTATCACGGCAAAATCCTTGCGGTCTACTGTTGTCACCTATATAAGTATACATGATGTTCAAAAGTATACACCGTATGTTAACAATTCGCTTGAGTAGCACGAATACGGCATCAGCGATTCCTACATCCTCGCGAAAGCGCTCACGCACGTATTGCAACGTATCAATGTCCTTTCTCTTGGCTGCCTGCAACACCTTTTTGTAAAGTATCATCACCTGCAGCTGCAGCCCCGAGTGAACCTTAACCTTCCCCATTCTGTAATATAGGCAACTGTGTAAATAAATAAGTGAGCTGTCAAGTATACTTAGGCAAGTATCGTTCAAATTAGTTTTTTTGTGCACCTACTCTGATTGCTTCTGTCGTACATTTTTATTGCTAATATTGAGATTATCATTGTGCTATTGAGAGTATCAATCTACGAGACTTAAGTGTGCAGTAACTTGCCTTCCAACGCGCCTCATTCTCCGAATATCCTCCTGGTGCTGCCATCAAATCAATGTGATTGAGGTCGCAGCATGAGGCCGATCCCATGATAAGAGCCATTGTGCCTCCAGCTTTGACAAGACTCGGGTCTTTCCTGAATCGGTCTCTTTATTCCGGACAACAGATGTGACACCATGCAGCTGCTTTGAGTTGGAATAGCGAGGGGCTAAACTTTGTTCAAAATCACTAGTTTGCTTGCGACTTATAAAGCTCCGCCTTAATGATGCTATACGAGTTAAGCCACCGCCAATTGTAGCCCCAGCCCCGCACTAAAAAGTTCAGACAATGACAAACAAGCCCGTACGTTTTCTCTAGATAACTTCTGCCAAGGCCTGCTTCACGACCACCCTTCCCGCGATACTTGCGATCCTTACACCCATTCACTACCGCATATGTTTGAGTACTATACCATCTTGTAACATCAAAGAAAACGTAGCAAACTCTAGATGTTATCCTCTTTAGTGTCGATCTAACCATATCATCTTTGACCGCACACTTAGCAGCATGAAACAGCCTTAACTGCAATTCCTTATCCATTTTTGATGATATCAAAGTCATTAGCTTGCCAGTACTTTGATTTATCTACCTACTATCAACTTGCTCAGTAACATTAAATCTCTCCATCTACCGAATTGCACCGCCCACTGATATATATGGACCTCTCATAATGCCGAATCGTTTCTTGTGAGATGCTTCATAATAACTGGTATGCCCGATATATTCAACAGCCAGGAAGCTGCGGAACCGTTAGTTGACGAGAATATCGAAACAATGCAAAACTCGGTGATGCCTGTTTTGGTGGTGGTGCACATTGCTTTAAACTAGTCACGCAAGGTCCACCAGCTACTGCAAGTTGACTGGAATGGATTTCCAATAGCCTATTCTTCAACATTAGCTACTTTACAACTTTGAAATGTCATCGATAGCTGCAGTCTCAGAGCACCCTCGAAATTTTGGATCCCATGCTTTGAGGCCATCTCGACAGCCTATAAACGGCGTCATGGTTCGTTCTTCTCAAGGCTTGTCCGCAAATAAAGAAGAAGAAGATTCGGTTATGAACGCAATCTGCCGCTCGTGAAACCTCACCCTGATCGTTCGTACAACATGAAACGTGCGCTGGTCAAACGTATCAATATATTCTGCAACTACGACACATGCATAAAATGCTAGTATCAGCCAGTGGAACTCAAAAAAACTTGTCGGGCTGCAGTCAGCTGTTCTGTGTCCTTAAGTATTTGCAGCATATTGGTCCAACAGTAGGCGAAGAGCTTCTGTGGCATGTGTCGCTCTTTTCCAAAGAATGGACCAGTACTTGGCGACGACGTCACCGGATTTGTGAGCTGCAGTCATACTCCACTCCACTGCAGACTCCACATGAGTTTCTGAATTTCCAATCACACGCTTGATCAGACCGCACAGGTACAACCAGGACTGGGTGCCTTTCAAAGCGATAATCTGCATCGCTGCTTCATTTCGAGGCGTGGTACAATCGGTCGTTTCCATGACCCACGCGGGAATAATCGAATGAAGTTGTTCCAAATCGTCATTGGCGTCTTGTAACTTCGCTAGCAGCATTTGCGTTTCCGTGACTTCGATCGGTTGAAGTACAAACTGGTACTTAGGCTTCCACACCACATCAGCATTTGAGAACTTCAACAGAAAATCAAGACGCATACGACCTTCGCTCATCGCAATGAGGTCCACTTCATAGTCAGTATCTCGGCTTGCTTTCGAGCGACCAAGGCTCATCTGCAGTAAAGAAACGTGTTAGTCCAAACGTATCGAGATGTGAATTAATACAAACGTATGAAGCTTACTGCGAGCGAGTCCATAACGATTGCATGTGGAATACCGGCACCCTTGAGAGCAAAGTCGTTCACGGATGACACCGTGCATTGCCTAGAACACCATGAATCATAATATTCAATTCAATAACGATTCCAAATAGACCGTTGATCTCTTGATTGTTACCACTGCTGCTTCGTCGTCTGCTGTTCTAGCCAGATCTTCACTGAAGACACTGAAAAGCGGAATAATGCGTCACGCTGCGAGCCGAACGTCGCCATGCCCGTTGTCTCCGTCATCTTCAATGAATTAGCGATTCCTACTACAGCCTCAATTCGAAAATGATCACATGATGAGCCTCGGTCCAACCGTGACCGCATCCCAAGTAAGTCAATAGTGATCGATATTTGTGACGAAAGAGCGTGGACATGGAGATGTTGAAAGCATTTCCATCAATCTTTTTATCATGATGACATGGTTAGTAGTGCCCGAAAAAAAACTAAATATCGGTAACTAGGAATGGGCAGCGATCAATCTATTACCAGACATCCCTAGTTCAGCCTGCGACATAACGCGACTCGGACGATCGCCGCTGACTCGGTATTCAAAAAAGATAGTCCAATAGCTAACGATCATAGGCATCATGTGCATGTTGTTTGAATCCCTTATATCGCCAGGCCGGCTTCGACTTGCTCAGAGATAGAAGAACGCAACTTGTGGACAACGCACGCAACACTGTGTAGTGTGCTCAGTGCCCTTCTTCCCTCTCCCCTTAGCAAGAATTACCAGCAAAATAAAATTTTTTTTTCTTCTTTTTTGTTTTTTTCTTCCCCCCCTCCCCCCCCCCCCCACAAAAAAATAATTTTGTTTTTCTTCTCCTCCCCCCCACTCCTTTTAAAAAAAAAAAAAAGACAAAAAGAAAAATTTTTTTTTTTTATTCCCACCTAAAACGGATATAAGGGATTCAAACAACATGCACATGATGCCTATGATCGTTAGCTATTGGACTATCTTTTTTGAATACCGAGTCAGCGGCGATCGTCCGAGTCGCGTTATGTCGCAGGCTGAACTAGGGATGTCTGGTAATAGATTGATCGCTGCCCATTCCTAGTTACCGATATTTAGTTTTTTTTCGGGCACTACTAACCATGTCATCATGATAAAAAGATTGATGGAAATGCTTTCAACATCTCCATGTCCACGCTCTTTCGTCACAAATATCGATCACTATTGACTTACTTGGGATGCGGTCACGGTTGGACCGAGGCTCATCATGTGATCATTTTCGAATTGAGGCTGTAGTAGGAATCGCTAATTCATTGAAGATGACGGAGACAACGGGCATGGCGACGTTCGGCTCGCAGCGTGACGCATTATTCCGCTTTTCAGTGTCTTTAGTGAAGATCTGGCTAGAACAGCAGACGACGAAGCAGCAGTGGTAACAATCAAGAGATCAACGGTCTATTTGGAATCGTTATTGAATTGAATATTATGATTCATGGTGTTCTAGGCAATGCACGGTGTCATCCGTGAACGACTTTGCTCTCAAGGGTGCCGGTATTCCACATGCAATCGTTATGGACTCGCTCGCAGTAAGCTTCATACGTTTGTATTAATTCACATCTCGATACGTTTGGACTAACACGTTTCTTTACTGCAGATGAGCCTTGGTCGCTCGAAAGCAAGCCGAGATACTGACTATGAAGTGGACCTCATTGCGATGAGCGAAGGTCGTATGCGTCTTGATTTTCTGTTGAAGTTCTCAAATGCTGATGTGGTGTGGAAGCCTAAGTACCAGTTTGTACTTCAACCGATCGAAGTCACGGAAACGCAAATGCTGCTAGCGAAGTTACAAGACGCCAATGACGATTTGGAACAACTTCATTCGATTATTCCCGCGTGGGTCATGGAAACGACCGATTGTACCACGCCTCGAAATGAAGCAGCGATGCAGATTATCGCTTTGAAAGGCACCCAGTCCTGGTTGTACCTGTGCGGTCTGATCAAGCGTGTGATTGGAAATTCTGAAACTCATGTGGAGTCTGCAGTGGAGTGGAGTATGACTGCAGCTCACAAATCCGGTGACGTCGTCGCCAAGTACTGGTCCATTCTTTGGAAAAGAGCGACACATGCCACAGAAGCTCTTCGCCTACTGTTGGACCAATATGCTGCAAATACTTAAGGACACAGAACAGCTGACTGCAGCCCGACAAGTTTTTTTGAGTTCCACTGGCTGATACTAGCATTTTATGCATGTGTCGTAGTTGCAGAATATATTGATACGTTTGACCAGCGCACGTTTCATGTTGTACGAACGATCAGGGTGAGGTTTCACGAGCGGCAGATTGCGTTCATAACCGAATCTTCTTCTTCTTTATTTGCGGACAAGCCTTGAGAAGAACGAACCATGACGCCGTTTATAGGCTGTCGAGATGGCCTCAAAGCATGGGATCCAAAATTTCGAGGGTGCTCTGAGACTGCAGCTATCGATGACATTTCAAAGTTGTAAAGTAGCTAATGTTGAAGAATAGGCTATTGGAAATCCATTCCAGTCAACTTGCAGTAGCTGGTGGACCTTGCGTGACTAGTTTAAAGCAATGTGCACCACCACCAAAACAGGCATCACCGAGTTTTGCATTGTTTCGATATTCTTGTCAACTAACGGTTCCGCAGCTTCCTGGCTGTTGAATATATCGGGCATACCAGTTTATGAAGCATCTCACAAGAAACGATTCGGCATTATGAGAGGTCCATATATATCAGTGGGCGGTGCAATTCGGTAGATGGAGAGATTTAATGTTACTGAGCAAGTTGATAGTAGGTAGATAAATCAAAGTACTGGCAAGCTAATGACTTTGATATCATCAAAAATGGATAAGGAATTGCAGTTAAGGCTGTTTCATGCTGCTAAGTGTGCGGTCAAAGATGATATGGTTAGATCGACACTAAAGAGGATAACATCTAGAGTTTGCTACGTTTTCTTTGATGTTACAAGATGGTATAGTACTCAAACATATGCGGTAGTGAATGGGTGTAAGGATCGCAAGTATCGCGGGAAGGGTGGTCGTGAAGCAGGCCTTGGCAGAAGTTATCTAGAGAAAACGTACGGGCTTGTTTGTCATTGTCTGAACTTTTTAGTGCGGGGCTGGGGCTACAATTGGCGGTGGCTTAACTCGTATAGCATCATTAAGGCGGAGCTTTATAAGTCGCAAGCAAACTAGTGATTACGAATAAAGTTTAGCCCCTCGCTATTCCAACTCAAAGCAGCTGCATGGTGTCACATCTGTTGTCCGGAATAAAGAGACCGATTCAGGAAAGACCCGAGTCTTGTCAAAGCTGGAGGCACAATGGCTCTTATCATGGGATCGGCCTCATGCTGCGACCTCAATCACATTGATTTGATGGCAGCACCAGGAGGATATTCGGAGAATGAGGCGCGTTGGAAGGCAAGTTACTGCACACTTAAGTCTCGTAGATTGATACTCTCAATAGCACAATGATAATCTCAATAATTAGCAATAAAAATGTACGACAGAAGCAATCAGAGTAGGTGCACAAAAAAACTAATTTGAACGATACTTGCCTAAGTATACTTGACAGCTCACTTATTTATTTCTACAGTTGCCTATATTACAGAATGGGGAAGGTTAAGGTTCACTCGGGGCTGCAGCTGCAGGTGATGATACTTTACAAAAAGGTGTTGCAGGCAGCCAAGAGAAAGGACATTGATACGTTGCAATACGTGCGTGAGCGCTTTCGCGAGGATGTAGGAATCGCTGATGCCGTATTCGTGCTACTCAAGCGAATTGTTAACATACGGTGTATACTTTTGAACATCATGTATACTTATATAGGTGACAACAGTAGACCGCAAGGATTTTGCCGTGATAGAGTATATGTTGCGCAAAGGTGAACGCGACCTCAAGATGCTAGATAGAATGAAGTCGGCGCATTTTATGAATGTGTCGCACCAGAAGTAGCTGGAAGAATGCAAGTGTTATAAATCAATACATCCCGGACGATGGATTGTTCAGTAAGTACTACTGTATTGACATCCATACAATTTTCATGTATTATTCTGAATGTTCCATATTTTACAGACAATCCTTATGTGGTTGGTAAAATATTCAGAACAAATTTTATATATTGAAGTAGAATACTAGTGAAAACAAAAATGATCCATATGAGAAGACAAGACGTCGGAATATTTGACTCCGTACACTTGATACTTCATATGTGATGTCAGATTAGAAGCTGGTAATGAAGGGTGGAGGGAACTAAACTCCTCATGCTCATACAAGGCAAGTGCGACCGAACAGGAGGAAGAGAGATACACGCATTGTAAGTTTCCCCAATAATATCATCCAGTAGTTTGAATGTATCTAGCTGATCAATTTCAGTGCAAACATCCTCAGATTACATGACTACGAAAAAGCAACTCTGTTATTATATTTGTTTACTATGCTATTCAAGTATCGAGAAGTCTGTGAACCGATCTTTCATTCCTCTTCACACGTGTCGAAGTCGACGAGTGGTAATGCCAAAAAGATTACCCAATGTCTGCTTGAAACCATGTCCATTGAACTTTGTCACAGTCAGTGTACCGTCGTCGTTGCTAGTCGACAAAGGTGTCGCATCTCGTTCTTCTTTGGTGGTGACACTACCAGGTGAATATTCTTGGACATCACGTTCACCTTTGATGGACGATACTATCTCGGCATTATTCTCAGTAACACTATCCGCAGCTGGGGTTGAGAGTGGGTTGCCCATGCCGTTCTTGACTGAAAGCAGCGCGATCATGAACACGAAAGCGATGTTGATTCGAAACATGAGTTGATTTGGAAACTTGACTTGGCGATAACGTTGGCGATGCTTTGGTGGTGCTTTTGACGTTGCAAAATGGAAAATGAAGACGACGATTCCATTAAAACTGTTAACGCAGTTGGCTTAGATGTGATCTGGTTGAACAACAGCAATTTGCGTGCATAAAATAGGATTGCAGGAAAAATTAAACAAAACGTGAGAAAAAAGCTGCATTGTGTCCGATTATGTTTCAGTACTCTTGAATTGTATACGCTATGAAACCTGGTGCATGTTGAAGGAGAGCTGCGATCTTGAACTTTGCTTCGTGGTACATCAACTACGAACTGTATAGAACTGTTATTTTTAGAGAGAGAGAACAGATTGTCTATTTACTGATTAGTGCAAGATCTCTGGTAGGTAGTTAACCACACTAGCAACGCTGGAGGGTCCAGGAATTGCCTACGGCTGGCAGCACGTCTATGAACGCCGGACTGCCCTCTCGGTTCTGATATAAATATGTCGTAACATGCAGATAGTTGGGCTCCACGGACGGCTGTGGCCGCCCTGCAATGGAGACGTTTGATGAGCGCCCTCAGTTGGAGCTGAATCCTATTCCAGATCAAAGTTTCACTGGCTTGTATCGGAATAAGCGCATTGTTAAAAATCCTATCCACGCGAAGTTGCCAGAGCATTGTGATAATGACGGTCACTGCGACTTCCCAAATCGTCCTCCAGGCTGTGGCGAATAGATCAATGTCTTCCGGGTACCGGGCTAACAGCTTTGCTGTGACCTGCGGCGAGATGCGTGGTACGCTACAGTTTGCGCAGTGTTCGAGCCAATCCAGGAGGTGGGTAGGATGGTGAGGTGTACTCTCCCAATGACTGATAAGCCGGGCCCAGATTGTCCGAGCGCGGGGACATCCCCAAAAGAGATGCTCCTGGGTTTCCTTTTGGCCTACACATTCCAAATATGTGCATGATCCGTCCGGGGGTCGGTTTTGGTACCATAGGTTTAGCTGTCCGGTAGCGTGTCGATATCGTGTCCATAGCTGGTATTCCGTTACCGCATGGCCGTGATCCCATAGCTGAGCCGGCGTGACATTTAAAGCTGTGCATTGCCACCGCGTATTCTGGCTCTTGGTGGCTAGCCGATCGATGACCTGCTTCAGCGGTGCTGCGAGACCGCGCTTTGTCGCCTGAAAAGCTTGTTTTTTCAAAAAAGTGAATAGTCGATGGTTGGGGACCGTAGGCGGTGCGGACCACGGATAGTGGTGGATCTGTGGGTTGGAAAAAACGACAACCCCATGTCGGCTGAGCTTGCTCTCCGCTTGTTGGGTGAATTCCTGCGATTTCCCTTTTACTAGCGGCGGAGCGCCGTCGAAAACCCAAGTTATGCCATCGTGGCATTGAGTGAGCTCCCAACTCTGAGGGCGATCAGATTCATCAGAGAGTGAAACGCCTCGAACCTTGCCTGGCCCGATCAGCACCCATGAGATGGCTTGCGTGAATGGTAGCTGTTGCCTTAGTCGCAATGGGCTTGGGCACCCTACCGGATTTCCCACGTCTAGTGGTGGCGACGAAAGTAAAATAATGATCGCCCATTCTCGAAGTTTCGCATGCGAATGGCGGGGGTCATGGACATCCGTGCCAATGCCGCTGAAGACGTATTCTTGGGGGCCTGTCCGCTGGATGTGGAGTTGTTCGAGGGATACATCACGAATTCTGTTATATTTGGATCGGGACAGCTCGAGCGCCTGCGGTGAGAGAATCCAAGGATTACCACTCCACTGAGAACTGTTATTTTTAGTACAGAGGGGGAACTGTGGATTAGCTTTTTATAAAAATCTACAAATATTTCTCGTCAATTAATATATGTTGGAAAGAAGCAATCTAGAAAATGCTTCGAGTCTAAATTATTTTCATTGTGATTAGACGAAAGTCTGCGAGGTGATGGGCCACCAAAATTAGTGCGATTTAGCAAGTGACACAGCTGGCGAAAAAAAGTGTTATTCATTTGCAATGCAAAAAGATACAGCACCGCCACAATGGTCCAGTATTCCTACACCGCTACATGATAAGGCGAACTGTAGCTTCATGGATTACGAAAATTTTGGTTAGATCGTCCTGTAATCTGTGACGCTATATTTCGTCTTATGTTTGTTTAGACCATCCTGTAATATGTGACGCTAGAGCTCGTCCGGTTTAAGCAGTCGCGGATGAATCAGATCCTCTGGTGTCTGACTAGCTAGTCGCTGTTGGAAAATTTGAGAAACGTATTTAAAATTAGGAATTTTCAAATAGGTACTGTTACTGCTTCAGATCAGACAGGAGTCACATCTCTGTTGAGGACATTATTATATACAAAATAATCTGTTTAACTTAATTATCTAAAGATGCCATCGTTGTAAACATTTATAGCGTTTATCATATAAGACAGGTATAAGTTTAGTGCTAGTCGTCCGAGTCATTCAATTCAATTGTGAAGGTTATGTTTTATGAGGGATTTATTTAGACAGGTTTTATTGTATATATATAACCTTTACAGACATTTCTAAAGTATCCCCAATCTTAATTTTTTCATCAATATAAATGACGTCGTCCGACGTGGTTCTTAAAAATCCTCCATGCTTTCGCTCAGGTCTCATGTGGGGCATCAGTGTCGGTGCAATCATTGGCGCACATCGCTATCGTACTACGAAACTCATTCGTCAGTCCTGTGACGGGGCGATCCTTGCTTTTGGACTCGTCGGAACTGGCAGCTGGTATGACAGAAAATTCTTTTTTTTAGAAATGGTCTGACTCTCTCTCTCTCTCTTTCCGTTACTTCAGGTTGTTCTGTTCTACTGCGTATCGTACACGAGCGCGACAGACACGCGAGTTTATGGAAATTATGAATAATCCCGAGCGAAAAATCGAAGCGGAACAATTTTTACGTTCTCGAGTTCACACTCGATCATCTGACGACGAAGTAGCACGAGTCAAAAGTCACACGGTGGAAAAAGAAGAAGAATAAAAATCTGCAGATGGTTGTGGGGTTCATATTTTGATTCAGCCGCCCGGTTAAATATCGGCTTTTTGTGCTCCATTAGCCATTCGTGTCGTCTTCCCTTTTCAATACCAACGACTTTGTTTGCTCTGTTGAGAGAAGAAAAGGGGGAACCTGACACAGAACTGGCAATACGGCTCTGTTTTCTTGTGGTGCTGCTAAGTCGCCGCTGTCTTGTTCTTTACTGCATCGAGACGGCGAGTCGGCATGCTTGTACAACCTCTGTTGTTGGTGCTCGAAAAGAGTTTACTCTTTGGTTTCTTGAGTGGAAAGACGGGTGTGATTGCGTCATTACTGAATGATGCAATTTTCCTTGTTACGTCGACCAGCCAGCGTCTTTTCGCGATCCATTACCATCTTTTGTGTAAGTGTGGCTACACATGACAAGGGGATGAGAGGCTGAACAGAAATTCGAATACCACAGAATAGATACTTACGATTAACACTGATCATGAAAGCATCGCGTGCAATAGTTTCGAGCGCGCCATTGGTGTTTTCCGACGTCTTGGCACTCGTTTCTGCAAAGACACGCATTTTCGCTCTAGTTAGATTACATCGCATCGCAATTATTGCTCATACGTCATTTCATCAACGTACCAATAAATCGGCAGCCATACTGGCTTGCAGCTGCTTGACCTTCTGCCAACGTCACTACACGGTTCGGCAGATCGATCTTGTTTCCTACTAGCAGCATGGCTGGCATCTGCGTCGGAGACGAATACTGACGAATGTTATTCATCCAGTAGCCAACATCTGCGCAATACAAATTCCAATCAGTATATTCATTCCAGAATACAACCGCCAAAAGCATATATCCAGCCACGTACTATCAAAGCTGCGTCTATCGCTGACGTCGTACACGAGAACTATACCATTCGCGCCCTTGTAATATGCTGCAAGTTGCCAATTGAAACACCAGGCGTCAGAGACCTAAAAAAACTATCAAAACTCAATGTTCTTATACAACAAACGTACTAGCAGTGATGCGATGAAAACGCTCCTGTCCTGCGGTATCCCATATTTGAAGAGTAATCGCTTCATCTGCAACGTTGATATGTCGAAGCTTGAAATCCACACTGTCCAAACATATAAAATTAGCTAGCAGTAAAAACTCGACAAATCACTGCCACATACCCTGCAGTTGCCAGCATCGACTCTGAGAATTCATCACCAGAGAATACACGCATCAAACTCGTTTTACCAACCCCTATAATCCACACAAAACGAGAACGTCATATCCAAAAAAATCAATATCCTCCCACTTCTCATCCAGCTGCACAAAAAATCAAAGCACATACCGCTATCTCCTAATAGCAATAGCTTGAGCTTGTGCTTTTTTTTGGGTGGTACAGGCGTCACATCTGCTGCAATTTCCGACATCACCTTGTCCGTTTCAGCTCCAATTGACATCTTAGTCCCCACTTGTTTCACTGGTTCTAATTTTGCTCCTTCTTCTGAATTCCCCAGTAATCTTGAGGTGCTTTTAAACATCTTATTCCGAAACAATGAGGCTCTCATTGTCAAGGATCTCCTGGACGAAAGTTTTTCTGCTTTTAATTTATGATCTTCTTCTTCTTCCATTTTTTTTTCTTCCAGTTCTTCTTCTGTTAATTCTTCATCTCCATATCCTGCTAAAGGCATGGGACTATTATCCACCGATAACTGTAATCCTTCTGAAAGAGCGTCCAATGCTGCTGCAGATAAAGCACCTGTTGGTTGCACGACTTCTACTTTCTTGACACCAACAAGTTTACTTTCATTCTGAAGCTTTGAAACATCAACAGGAGCTGAACCTGCCAAGTAAATTTTAGACAAAGAAGCTGCTCGTTTTGCAGCATTTTCTTCGGTTTCCATGTCCTGAGTAAGTGTTTGAGGTTGTTGTAAAGCAGAAAAGGAACAACTGCGTCTTCTGTTTCGAACAGCGTCTTCTTCACTCTCCGTAGCTTCACATGAGCTTACACAAAATGTCTCAGACTCGTCTAAATGAGCTGTATCACATCTCCTTTGATCATTTCGAGCTTCGGATTCATCGTTTGCTACAAAAGAACGACTACGTGTCCGACCACGGCCTTGAACCGTCAGTTCCATCTCCTTTTCCCAAACATGTTGAGCCTCGGCTTCTGCCTGCTCGGTCGTAGAAAGGTCGTGCTGCATAAAGTTTGTCGCACTGGCAGTTACGGTGGTCATGTGTTGGACTCTTTATAGTGATTTTTGACCTTTACGAACAATTGGCGAGTGGTGTGTAACTTGTTTATTGGCTTGTGGCTGAGAGAGGGGGGACTTTGTACTTTTTAGTGGCCCGAGCCACTCGATGCATTGATTATTATGGGATGGAGAGAGAAATAATGACCAATCAGAGAGAAGAAAACATTTGAGCAGGGATAAACAGACCAGGTTTGTGTGTGTAATGCTGCCACCCATTAGTAACTGAAAAGGTCACTTTAAAAAGTAACCAGTCTGACGCAATCAAATTTGGTGTAACCTATTTTTACAAACTTTGAGACTATATTTACATAGGTAGGTAGGTAATATGATAGCTAAATGGATTATTTTTTAGTATAATTCTTGATGGATCGCCGGACAATGACAATTTCTATCAATAATGAGTTGATCCCACTACATCCTTGTCTTCGCATTATGTTTCAATCAAATGTCTTTTCACATGAAATCACATGTTTCGTTATCGTATTACATGCCTCTTTAGTCTTGGCAATTGCCTCGTATAATACTACAAACCAGCTGGAGTTTTGATGGAAATTAGCGTTGTTGTCACCTATTGCAGAGTTGACAACGATGCGATGAAGATGCAACAACGTAGAGGCGTTTGGACTCTTGAGTAGTAACGGTGTTTTCACTCTAATTAATATCAAGGTGGGAGGGACCATTACAACTATTTTCTCAGATTGCACTATAGTTTAATCAACTACTACTCTCTATCATTGCTCTCTATCTCGGCATTTCGATCCTAATACAACAATATTGTCTATGAGATTGTATAGGAAAACGTATAGGAAAATTTGCTGGTGGGAAAGTCTAGACCAGATAACCGCAAAATGTGCGCACAATCCAGCTTCAGATCGGACAGAGCCGTATCTTCCAACCATACGGTAAAGTAAACACTTACAAGACCACTAGCCACCTTTTGTCACCAAATCTGCACCTCTATGCTTTGGAACAGCTAAAGAGCCCTTTTCACAAGATGCGAAGACCATCAAACTTCAACTCACTTGCCACGCCGTTCACTTGTCCTTATCATCGTCTTGAAGTCAGCAAACTCAAATGTCGATTCACTTGTCCTGCCATCATTCGATCCTTTTTGTTCTGCATCCACTCAAAAGCCAAGAAAGTAGATATGATCTACATGTTGCACGACACCGTCAACGTAACACGTCACAGCTTTTGCTTTCAATACTCGCGAGTTTCGAACAGTTTGGCGACGTCCCGCCAACGTGCAGCACCCTCTCGGCCGTCACACACGAGCGAAGGAGAAACGGACTCTCTCACAAACGCGTATCATCGGAACGAAACATACGTCGTACTGAAATGACCTGTAACTCACCAAAAAAACTGAACAACAAAATATCCCCGATACATCCCAAACAATAGAGCAACAAAGGTTGCATTCATAACAAGCGTTCTGACGTGATGGTTTCCGGTCTCTCCTTCCATGTCCTTTTCAATGCCTACCTGTGCATCGCCCCGGTCCGCCCCAATCTGGCCCAGCTCAGCTTCAGCAACCAGATACAACAAACACCACCCTACTCATTTTGTAGCGTACGTCGCCTAGTCCTTTGCCCCATGTTCCTTTCAGCACCAATCCTCTTTCTTGATCAAAGCGTCCACTGCAGATCCACTTGATCGCTGCAGATTCCTTGGACAACACCAAACTTGCATCCCGGTCGATCAATGCATACAAGTGATGACGTCTAAGCCATACCTGGGGGTCCTTGATTCTATTGGTCAGCCATTCAACGAAGATAGTACCACAAACCACCACACAGACACAAGACAGGGACAAATAATCATCAACATCAACAGCCAGATTATCAACATGAGCATCGCCACTGTCTCCACCATCTCGTGCTCGCTATCAACCTCAACCCTCATAGCATGTAGAGCAACAATAAGCTCGCAGCACGAGTGATGGACTTATTGGCATTGCCAACCCGATGAGCAACCCAATACCGAGCGAATAGAAGCAACGAGACAGATGGACGAGGTTTACACACACACACACACACAATTATACACTCAACAAACCTGTGAAGCAGCGCTTGCAGGAGCCGAAGACGAATCAGCATCAGCATCACCTGTGGCCAAAGACGCAGGTGCGTCACTGACAGAGGAAGCCACAGCAGAGGCATCGCTGGTAGCTCCCGGCGCAGCAGCGGAGACAGCCTCTGCGCTGCCAGCCACGCCAGCCTGCTGCTGATATTGCTGGTAAGCTTCAGCGCTAGCTTGCGCAGCAGCACCGGTCACACCCCAAGCAGCATTAGCAGCATCCACACCGTAGTACGCTGCGTACTCGTAGTAACCGTTCCAATAGGCGTTCGGGTCATTCGGATCTGCTGTGGCTGTCGTTGCCGCTGTTTGGTCCCCACCCACAGCTACAGTTGCTGCCGTTCCGGTGGCTGATGCATCCTGTTCGTAATACTGACCTTGTTGACCCTGTTGCTGATAGTAAGAAGCGTACTGATCCTGCTGGCCCTGGGCTCCGTAACTTCCATACTGTTGTTGCTGATCATAGCCTCCACCATAGCCATTGTCACCCCCATACTGACCCCCACCTGTACCAAACCCGTGGGTACCTGCACCTTGTAATATCACCATGTCAACTTCCTCCTTCGCAGCTGCTAGGCTCTGCGATGGACCTTGAATAGAGATGGTGCGCACCGGTGGGTTCGAACCCGGGTCCGGCACTTGCGGAATTTGGATGCGGACAGCATGGCGGTCCTGAATTCCTTTGATCGTTTCTCCACGCTTGCCAATGATGACACCGACCCTGTCGTTAGGCACCTGCATGTAAATGGTCTGGCTAGAGGCCATGCCGAAGCTTTGTCGCTGCCCTGGCTCCTCGTTGACCATTGCTTGAATCTCGAATCTAGCAGCCTCCTTCGCCTCCATCGTACCACGAATCGTAATGAGGCGCATCTCAGGGTGATTCGGATCTGGCGTCTGCGGAATAGTGACACTTGTACCAGTACGCTGCTGAATCGCCTTGATCGTGCAGCCACCACGACCGATAATGAGTCCAACGCGCCCGTTAGGAATCAATATCTCCACCGAATCACTGCCATCAGGGTTGATACCGCCGTAGCGCGCCATACGATCCCGATCATCACGCTCACGGAATCCACCACCAGTCCCTTGATTCTGCTGTCGCTCGTCAATCAAATTCTGAATGAGTTTTTGAGCCAGATCTAAAGCATCTTGATTGCCCGTGATGTTCACAAAACGGTCAGGTGTGGTTGGCGCTCCTTCTTCTTCACGTACGATCTGGATATGTGCACCACTCTTCATCTGAAGATCACGGATAGTCTCTCCTCCACGTCCAATGATATAACCTACTAAGTCACGTGGCACCTTCATATCAATTGAAATGGAAGCACTATCATTACCAGGACCATAATGAGGTGGATTTTCACTGCCATTAGCTCCACCCGTCTGGTTATCACCGTCTCCAAACCTCTGTGTACCGTAATTCTCGATCAATGTCCCATTAAGCTCTGCAACTTTGCGTAATTGTTCCTGCTTCAGCTTCATAGCTTGCTGTGGGTTAAATAGAATATCTTCCACTGCACTCTGAGCCTTAGCTACTGCCTCATCAGAGTCAGCAGTAATCAGCACATGAAGTTCCTCATTCTCATCCGGTTCACCCGTTGGGTCTTTTGATGAGCCTTTGCCACGGATTAAAATCCGTGCCCCTGACTCGTCCTCCATCCGTTTCTGATTGGACCCTCGGGGACCAATCAAAAGTCCCATAAAGTTAATGTCCGGGTATCTATCCACGGGAATGTACACTTTCTTGCGCTTCTTGTCACTTAAACCCGGTGCAGGTCGTACCCCGCCATCTGCTACAATAAAAAGACCAAACTTGATATTAATAAGTGGGTTTTTTACGTTTCAAAATTCAGCAAAACTGGATTAAAACATACTATCACCCTATAATAAAATAAAAAACCCAAACATAAAAAACCCAAGACATAAAATTTAGTCTCAATCAGCTAAAATGTCAGTTAAAACCACGTATTGTATAACGTACCTCCCATCGACTTTTGCGTTTGCCCAGCGCGTCACCACCAGGAATTGCAGCTGCTGCAAGACGCGCTGCAATCTCACGAGCACGGGCTACAGGGTCTGCCATGGTTTTCGATAGAAATAAAGAGAAAAAAGGGAGCCAAGTCGTGCTAACAGCTCTGACCGTAAAGCTTTAATGGTTGTGTAGTAATTATTAACTGGTTGTCAATTAAAGACCAATCCGGTCATTTTTTAGACCAACACAGTAAATTAATTGGATAAAACTACTAATTGATTTGCACCAATTAGCAGTAACCTTTGAGTCATCATAAACCCATAATTTTGCCTGCTCATCATGTCAGTTAAAATGTAACTGACATTTTTCACCAATCACGTGTCTCAATTACCGTGATCGACATTGTTGTATCTGCTCCAAGTAAATGGCTTCGGCTTCACGCGTACCGCTGCTCGTCAAGAGCAAGGGCCGCATTCCCTCTCGTATATCAATTGCACCTCGTACTAAGCCATTGAATGGTGCGTTTTGTGTAAAAATACACGCAAAATTGGCTCCAAACTGAAGCTTTCTATCTCATAGTCTCATTTTCTTTATATTTGTATTCTTGCAGGGCCCCGAACGAAGCGTGTTGTACCTTTGGACAGTGAAAAGACAAAGGATAATGAAGCAGAGAAGGAGAAGGTTCAAGAGGTGCGAGTTTAAGTGCACAATGTTTCCTACAAGCCAAGATCTATTGGTTTCAAGGTCTGGAGTGCTAATTCTGAGCTACTGTGTGCTAATTCCAGGCTCAAAAGACTACACAAGAGTCTTTAATCACAGCAGAGACAACTACTAAAACGTCGACCACATCTGGGACTCCAGCGGTCAAAATTACAGTTTTGAAGCCGACAAATGTAGCCACATCCGGGACAATGGCTACACCTTTGTCTCAGTCGTCGGTAGTTGCCAAACCTCGTGTAAATGACTCAAGTTCTGTGGCTACTTTTACTGCTGGAGCTTCGGCTGTGCAGCGACAAAGGACTGGCGAGATTTCAGTCGGTGGTTCGTTGTCCAAGACACTGTCAAGTTTCAAGAATGTCGGGGTACGACCGGTACCGACCGTACAATCACCTGTTGTTCTGCCCGTGCAGCAACGTTCCGAAAGACTGGCGAAAATCACATCGACGGGACCAATGTACCGAGCAAGTCCTGTGATGCAGCCACGTGCTGGAAGTATTGGGAGCTCACCGGCGATGCATCCGCGTGGAATGAGTGTCGGTAGCTCTCCTGCAGTGGGACCACAGAATCTGATGAAGCAGCGACTACTGCGAACGTTAGACATTAAGCCGCATCAGTCACCTCGACGTTCAGCTATGCAACTGCAGCAGCAAAAGTTGCGTAACGAAGATGAACCGGCATCACCGCTGATGCTCGGGGGTAAGTCTTCAGGAGTAATTCCTGATGTCCAGCTCGATACACAGCGGTCAAGATGTGTAAATACTACAAAGACAACTCACGCTTTGGCTGTACCTGCTAAGGCAAAGCGACCAGCGGCATCAAAGCGTAGAAAGAGTAGTGAAACGACGTCAGTACGGATCAATGCCAATGCTAGCACGCCTCAGCGGCAATCGTTAAGGAGAAAAGCAAAGCGACCAACCTACCGTGAGATGGATGACAGTGGCAGCTCGAACAGTGAGCCAGACAATAATCGCGATGAGGATGTCAATCCATATGATCTTGACCTACCGGAGAACGAGATACGTGTACGTCATATTTCTCGATGCTTTCTCTGCGAGTGATCCAGCTCTAACTTTTTCTTGTGTTTCTATCATTTTATAGGTGTACGTGCCTGCGCGAGAGCGCGCAACAATGTGGGCCAAATCTCTTTTACGGACGGACTACGAGGGTAAGAAAGGAGATGAAAAGAAGGGGGGCGGTACATCACAGGCGATAGTCATGCGTGAAAGGAAAACTACGACACGCAGGAAGCATAGCGATCCGAATGCATCCTCAGTCTCATCGATTGTGACAGGCATCGATGGTGGTGTGATGTCACGTAGCAAGATGGAGGAACTGATGAAGAAGGAGCCATCCCAGATGACCATGGGCGAGTTGGCACTCACTGTACCCAAGGGCAGACGGATTGAGCGGCATGAGCGTGAAGAAGCAGCCTCGGACACACCGCTAATGGCAGGTTCATCTGGAGAAGGGTCCTCGAGCTTGCTAAATATGAATGCGTTCAACCGCGTGCGTTCACTGTCAGTGTCGTCTGAATCTGCAGCTTTCGCAGGTTCACTGGTGACGCCGCAGGTTCAGATTATCGATGGCCAAATGGTTGTGCTGGAGAATACGATCAAGTTAGCTGACGAGCTGCAGCGCACGACAGATGCACTTGACGAAGGCAATATTGACGCAGAAAACACGGGATTACCACCTCGACACTCGGGCTCACGCTACAACTCATCGCGTCCGAACTGTCCGGGTAAGCGCTGGGGGAAGGAGGAGACGAAGCAGTTTTACTATTGCCTGAGTCAGGTTGGTCCAAACTTTTCGATGATGGCGACATTATTCCCGACCCGAAAACGAAAAGAGCTGAAGAGCAAGTTCAAATATGAAGAGAAGAACCACGCAAACCTGATTGAGATCGCGTTGCGTGCCTCAACAACTCCTCTTGATTCCGAGATGGTGGACGTTATTTCTCAGATGGTTGACAAAGAGGATCAGCGAAAACTTGATGCTCAGAAGAAGAAGCGAAAGTCGAGATCGGAGCAAGATCGACTTTGCGGCGAACAGGACGACGACGCAGCATCGGTGTTGAGCTCTATGGCTTCGACGCCAATGTCGACGCCACAGGTACATACGGAAGACTTTGTGGAGACACTCAACGATGAAGACCTCTTCCCGCCAAGTAGAAGTGGCTCGTTCGACTTTAGTGGTTAACAGGATAGTGATGCAGAGGGTCGCTAGCATGGGTGTAGACAAAAAGAGACGAATAACTTTACAAGAACCAGCACAGTGTAAGAACCACATTTACAAGGAGGGACTTCATGTTATTGACTTGATGGAAGCAAGAAAGACATCGAAATTTAGGTAGCAATGTCTGTCTACAACATGGCAACAACAGTGACAGCGACAAGACTGACACCAGTGAAAACAATGCAAGATGCATCACTACTTTTAGAAGGGCCTTGGCTTTTGGGACTATCAGTGAAATCGTCTTTACGCTTTGTGTCAGTATCGTCCGGTGCCGAGTTGTCCTTAAGGTGTCAAGGATACCGTGTCCGGTAGTTCCATGCCCGTGACGTAAGTATCTCCAAGTGTCTCTCTAGCTGCATCACCTGCGGCGTTAGGATCGTCAAGTGTCTGTGCTTCGATCTTGAAGAACGTAAGCGCCAATATGGCAGCAATTCCAATCAGTTGAAACTTCATATCTCGACGTCTAGAGCTTTGACTTGGAGGGAGGTATTTTGACAATAACAAGTTAATGAACTGATTGTGTGGTTGTGTAATTGTGCTGAAAAGTTCAGAAGAGAGAGACGCGATCGACAGAAACGACATACATTTTCGGATACTAAATAGTACTACTATCTTAATACATCTATAGTAGTACTGTAATAGTACTACTATTACATGCAGAACAGTTTAGTAGCAGTCAATGTCTTTTTGCTCTTAAATTGCTTGCAGCCATGTTTGTTTGTGGCAGTTTAAGAGCATTAAAAAGCCAGCTGCCAATTCTGCCGTCATCTCGACAAGAGAGGAACCGACGACCCCAATTCATCTTCTCTCTTGACTCGAGAGCCCTTCCTCGTACCTAAAAAATTGCCTCATTACCTACAGAGATCACAGAAATGCCTCGTGACGAGCAGTCGTACCGTAATATGGACCAGCAGCAGTTCGACAGTCAACGTGCAGAAGACGAGGCACGGCAAGACGCATTGTTGGATCAAATCCACGGCGGTGTCGTGGGTCTTAAGAACCAGGCGCATGCAATTAATGACGAAGTCGTGGAGCAAAATATCATGATTGATGACATTGGCAACGTACGTTTGAATCCTTTTTTTGCTGACAGTTATAGAGCGTCGGGAGAGACAAAGGAAACTAATGTATGTATGTTGCTGTTTTATTGTTTTAGCGAATGGACAATGCAACTCGTGATATTGCACAGGAAGAGAAAGCAGCGCGGGAGGCGAATGCTCGCAAAAAGAAGGCAAGTTTGTATACCTTTTTAGTGGAAAAACGTTTAGGGGTTTCTTTTCTTCTTTTCTTCTTTTCTGACTGTATTTTTTGGAATGTTGCTTTTTGTGATTTATTGTTGACAGGCATGCAAATTATACGGTGTGATTGTGGTTCTAGTGGTGATTCTCATCATTGTGTTCATCATTCCGGCCCCTGCCTCATCACAATAAAACAGTTACCTGTTTGTTACCAGCAAAGTTGTAGCACCAGAGTCCACGTTTTGTTGTTTCCCGAGATAGTTTTGGGGGATAAAACTTCTTGACTCGACGATACCACCCGCTTCCTGTCTCGTGTTTCCAAGTTGCCGCTCAGTACACTATTGACGACCAAGTATGCGGTTTTTAGCTGAGAACTGTATACGTAAACAGTGCAACTCGACTCATTTCTAAAAAAAACCTTTACAAAAAAGACCTTTATTCACGTTACGTTACCCTTTTTTCACCATGCTAGAGCAAATGCTACAATCATTGTCAACCCCATTGTCACACTGCTGAGAGCGGATACAGCGGTACCAGCCGTTATCACGGCACTTTCGGATGCATCGTCTTCATCGTCATCGGGGGGCATTCCTCCATTGACCGGTCCGGTTTTCGGGCCATTAGTCGGTTCAACCATTGGACCACCAGGAGCGACCTTCCCCACCACATCATCCCTTCCTCCACTGCCTGTAGTTCCTGCGCCCTCACTCGAGCAACCTGCAAGCAGCTTACTATTTGTAGGGACTTTAGACCCATCGGACGGGTCACCTAAGCCATCCGTAATGAGACCGGCTGGATTACTCTCCGTCCACGTGCAACACGGGTCTCCAAGTTCTTGGCCATTCGTGTAGCCATCTCCGTCCGTGTCTTCTTGACATAAGGCAGGACCCCACACATTGGTTGCTTTGGAGAAAGCCTCACCAAAAACACTCATTCCTGTCTCGCCTGCAGGATCTAAATGCCCCAAATTCGGTGTATCCGGCACCTCACCACCATTCGGAATGAGACTGACGTAACTGGGATAGCTTTCTATAGTAGAAGGTGCTACCATGAGACCCAGAGCCAGCATTGCCACTTGCAAACGCAGCATTTTTCTTTTCTAGAAACAAGATGACGCTGGAAATTTGACAAATGACATGACGACGAATGTGCAGACAGACAACTTTCCTATTCTTTGCTATGAAAAAAAAGACGGCGTGTCAGTAAATGATAGTAAAACCGTGCGCTGAACTTATGGCCACATACACTTTCCAAGTAAGTATACGTAAAAAAAGTCGCTAGAGGAGAAAAACCGTGACGAGCCAGCTGTTGGATTCGAAAAGACATGCGTTTGGCGTTTTGCTATCAGAAGCACAGTATGTGTACAAGCTATGATATCGAGACGATCTCTCGATAGTTGCAATATTGACTACCATGTTCTACAGCACACGATCCTGTGTCGCACTTGTCTAACATTTCATCTTTGTGTACAATCAGCTCTCCATACAACTGATATCTAGCATCCAGACGTACGATTACAACTCGTCATCACTCACGATGCTTGATATGCAGGACAAGTATCATCATCCCATCATCATTTGCAACAAGTAGACGCCAAAAACACCCAACAGACAACGGAATCCTTGGCACTATTTAAGAGCCTCTCAACTGTGTGTTTTCTATCTCTCTTTTCCTCTTACGCGCTGCTCTGGGCCACTGCACGTTGCACCTCGCGATGGCTCTTGACCGATACTTCTTGACGTTTCTTGGGTGTATTGTACCAGAAGCGCACAAAGCCGTCGCGTGTCGCAAAGATCGTATGGTCCTTGCCAATGCCCACGCCTGTGCCTACGTGGTACTTGGTACCACGTTGTCGGATGATAATGTTGCCAGAGACCACACTTTGGCTACAGTTGTCAAAAAGACAATATGGGGACAACCTATGAGCAATTGTTGACATTTTTGACACTTTTCATCCAATTTTGACAACGTACCCTCCGAATTTCTTGACTCCCAGCCGTTTGGACTCCGAGTCGCGGCCATTCTTTGTAGAACCGCCAGCTTTTTTAGAAGCCCAACGACATGAGACAGTGTACACACTTTCATTCTTAGTACTTAGTCGCGTCATCATCGAGGCGTAGCATCCAAAAACACGCGCCAGGCCCATCGTCATTGCCATTTGTGTCGACCAGTTCGTGCGTTTTCGGCCACAAAAAATAGAGAGTAACCCCAAGAGTGATTGTCAGATACTTTTATAGATAGTGATAATTTTACAGAAAAGTATACTTATACGTAGCCCTATACCTCTACCTAGCTTATATCGTCAGCATTTCTCAAATTCCTTCAAAAAGTAAACGCGTTTCGACATCATGACGTACGTAACTGGAGGCGACGTGGTGGCGAAGCGCTCACCGTGGAGATTGTCTATCGTGACCGACACATTTTGGGGCGTTGTTAACTTTGTGGGACTCTTGTACGTAGTAGTAAAAGCTTGTGATAAAAGAAAGAGACTCAAAACGACTAAAATGATTGTGTTAATTGTTTGTAAACAGTGTGACATCGCTTTTCTCCGTAAATTATTGGAATCAATTTATGTTTTTTTTTGTTTTTGTTTATTTGCAATTACTGACAATTAATTGTATGAAATGGAATGAAATAATAGGACCCATTGACAGCAACTCGTCATAATAGTAACATTCGTCAAGATTCAGCATCGAATCGTGGAGTAGGCAATAATGGACGTGGAGGACCTCGTCGACCCATGGGAAGAGTGAACCATCAAGGGACTATTAATATGCCATGTACGTGAAAATGAGAACGGAGATGTATGTCATTGATTGATTGGAGTGCTGATGTCTTTTGTTGCTATGAAGTAGTAGGCGGAGGATGCTGTGGCTAAGTATCGGTTCTGCGTCTCTTAACGCGGTGTAGTGTGTAGTGCAATAATGCAGCTATATGTATTAGAATCATTTGCAATAATGAAATGTACTACAATAATACAATATACTGCATTAATAAAATATATTGCAATTAAGCAATATCTCGCAATAATGCATTTAGTGCAATACTGCCATTTATTTCTAGCGTATTTTCTCAGATTGCAATAATGCAGTTTAGTGCAATAATCACATCATACGAAAAAAACATAATAATTGGCTCAACATACAGCATCTATTATGTAATCTCTCCTAGTCAAGCAGCATTCCACTTGAACCTTATCAAGAATCTGACCTCATCTACCAGACCTACTTTGTCCGTCGCTTCTTGGTAGCGCCCTTGGTCAAGTTTTTCAATTTCTTTCCCTTCTTCTTGCGCTTCCCACCTTCAGCTTCTTCATCGTCATCAAAACTCTTGCCCTTGTTCTTACCAGCATTCTCTTCACGTCCCAACACTCGCTTCAACACATTGATACTACGCTCCTTCTCAGTCGTCTCGGCACCAGTTGTCGGCAAAAAGTGGTTGCGTTTGCCCTTCACCTTGCGTTCAGACTCGCCGTCTCGCATCTTGTCAAACTTGCCCATCGATGCCGTTGAAAACTGCACCTTTTCCAAAGTCTTGTTTGTTCCCTCTTTACCACGCTGCTTCAGCTTGGTATCGTCTGTATTCATCAACTCGACTGGAATACCGGTAGGTGTACGACCAGCAATACCAGCAAGTTGCTTGCCACGTCCCTGTTTAAGGTTATTAGCTTGAGCCCGTATGTTCTTGTCCACACGTGTACGTTTCTCCTGCTTGCGTTTAGTCCATGGGTCCTCCGTGTCACCAGCTTTCATCTCGACGGCCCAATCCTTCATATCATCACCTGCACGCTGATATCCCCACGTATGACTCCAATCCCCCGTCTTTTCATCCAAAACTTTTCGACTCTTTTTGCGTTTCTCAATTCCCTTTTCCTTTGCAAATTTCTCCCATCTCGTCTCAATTTTAGGCTTGGGCAATGGTTTTTCACGAGGAATGATCGTCACAGGACCAGGTAATAGAGCAAGGGGTCCCATGTCGGACATTTCACGTGGCAATTCAAAAATTTTGTTGATCAAGAGCTGTACATTTTCACGTGTGTAAAGTGCCAGTGCTTTTTCATTCTTGAATGTAAACGGGTGCGTATCAAAAGCCGCTAGATTACCCAAGTCATAGATGAGATCGTCCTCTTTTTGTACGTTACTCGTGCTGCCTTTGGCATACGCGGCTGGTGCAATTTCGGAAGCCTTGATCACCATATTGATGTCAATGGATACACTGGAGAATATGGATGACCAAATTGGTGGAGCAGCTTTATTTGGTTGGTGTAGACGTTTTAACCAATCAATTAATCGGATAGAAATGTAAAGGAGCTTGGAGGGTTTTTAGCCAATAGAAGAAGCGGGCGTATTTTTCTGTTTCATTTCACCTTAATATATGTCGCCAATACATGATCTAGGCCATAGCTGCAACCATATATGTCTAGTATGGTCATTCTGTAGCTTTGTTAACGCTACTGTAGTCTTGTCGCGGCAGGTTCAAAGTCAGTTTCTTTAGCAGGCCGAATGTGTTTCTATTGGGATCGACAATGTTCATAGCGCAGACACACTTGGATTTTACTCACTACGCTCTAAGTAGGATCGTTCTTGTTGGTCGTGAGCAGTACTACTACAACAGTTGAACGAACTTGCTCTCTGACCTCCAAAAAACGTTCGGAGACGGATCTCGTCGTGAATCGAGAGGTCTTTTCGTGCACGTGTACAACTATAATATGAAACCGGTATTCTCGTATGAGACGTGCATCACGACCTCACGTTTTGCGCTAGTAATATTCATGTTGTTGTGTTGTTGTCTACATGATTTGATGCCACCCTCTATCTATCAATGTGAGGACACCTTCGAGCCAGCGACGACGACTAGGTAATTCTAGCCATAGGGACCCGAGCTGTACGAAAGACGTCAGTGTTACCACTTCAATATCACATGTTTTTGTCTATTTTCTACCGCTGTTCCAGACGTGGAGGGAGTTCTGCATCCCGTTGGGCAAAACTTCTCAGATCAGAGGGGTTATGGGATCACTGCTACGATCGGCATGTGGACCTACTTTATGGTAAAAAGATGTCAGAGCACCAACAAAAGTATTCAAGCCTAACCCAGTGAGTGACAGCAGGACTTAATCACAAGAACCTCTTTGTCTTTAGACTTGTAAGAACGGCTAGTATCAGTATCAAATGTCTTCTTATCTCATGGAAGGCTACGCTACAATCAGATAGGTGGACGGACGGATACATATGTAAGAGAGCTACGAGTGATAGGTCCACTATGTTGACCAGATCGTACTGACTTTGCGGTTGGTAATGGCCATCTTATCGGACATCGAATGACTGTCCTGATGCGTTTATACAGTACAGTCCTGTATATGGAAATGTACATCTGCTTAATGCACCCGATGGCAAGACATCCGGTGAGAGAGGCGGCGGTAGCTGACATCCACACAACACGACGTAAATAATGTCGCTGGCCAAATGTTTGTGAAATAAAACGGTCAGCCATTACAACCCAACGCAAAAAGGCGCAGAACCTTGACGATTCAAATCTATTCTGACCAATCACAGACGTTGTCTGTCGAATGAATTGTACATCTTATCATGCTGCAATTACACCGCAGGAAGTACTTGTGCTTCTTTTGACATTGATACGATCTCTCATTCCTACTTTTCCTCTCAAGTACTCAAGTCTCCACTTCCACTTCCACTTCCACTACCCCCTCATCTATCCAATCATGAAGGTTTTCCAGGTTCTCGTCATCGCTGCCCTTGCCATTGCCGCCGTGAATGCTCAAACCCCCGCTTCGGCCTCTCCCGCTTCGGCCTCGCCCGCTTCGGCCTCTCCCGCTTCGGGCGCTACCCCCGCTTCGGGCGCTACCCCCGCTTCGGGCGCTACCCCCGCTTCGGGCGCTACCCCAGCTTCGGGCGCTACACCAGCTTTGGGCGCTACACCAGCTTCGGGCGCTACACCCGCTACGGGAACTAATACCCCTGGCTCTACGGATCCCGCTATGACCAAGACGGACTCGGCTGCCTCGAAACCCGACGACCCAGAAGAAAGCAAGCCCGAGGCAGGCATGAGCTCGACCAAGGATGACAAGACCGAGGCAGGCATGGACTCGGCCAAGGAGGACAAGACTGGAGCGGACTCGTCCAACGGGGACAAGACCGAAGCCGGCATGGACTCGACCAAGGAAGACAAGACCGAGGCAGGCTCGACCGACGACGCCGGCAAAAAGGGTACGAGCGGTGCGTCACAGGTTGCTGGTGCCATGGGTGCAGCCACTGCAGCTGTCGTCGCCGTGGCCTCGTACTTTCTGTAAAATCTTCTACGAGTTGAGACAAGTCGACCTTGTTCTTCTACATACATATACATGTATAGCAGCACACTACTAAAGCGCAAGCAAATAGACGTTTAATTGCTGTTTAAACGAGTTTACGCATTTTGTTTTTTTGCAAGACTGGCTTTTTTGCCGCGATACGTATGATTTTACATCCTGATGACATCTGATTGGACAAAACCTTATTTTTGACACTCGTAATATATTTCACAGCTGTTATGGCGCTTGCTCTTCGTTATGCCGAGGAAGGCGAGTTCAGGTGCGTGTGTGTGTCTTCCTGTAGCCTTGATTCATAGGTGTATACTCTTATAACTATTTCTGTCTCTCTCTCTAGCTCTCGTGCATGTGACGTCTCTGCTTTGGAACTCTCCAGCGTAACACCGAGCAAGGCCATTTTTCGAGTAAATTACCGATATATTTCCTTGTTATGTCAAAAACTCTTTTTTAGCATAAACTTTTGTATCATTGACCAGTGGAGCCGCTTTGTGCGTGATCTGCTTGGACCTCAAGCCCATGACGCTATTAAAGTGAAAACGCTGGTAATTGCTATGCCTGGAGCAGCGCAACAGTTCGTACAGCAGCTGACTGCTTCTTGGACAGCAGTTGGGACATTATTGACTAATGACCAAGCCATTGTACGTACTTTTCTATTTGCTGACAAAATCGATCCTTATTGACAGGTACTTATTGACAAGTCTAATGTACTGTTGTAGCAACCATGCAAATTGCAAAGTTCACCCACTCTGGGTGTTATTCTGTCAAAAATGGGACTAAAGGTGCTGGAAGAAGAAAATTGTCTCGCGTTATTAGTAGGTCAAGAAGTGCCGGCTACAGCGACATGGGAGTGGCTCGATACATTGAGAACTCATGTTGATGCAGAGGAGATTGTGTGTCTAGACTCGATGTTGTCAACAATTTACACGGATCAGTATGAGGACGAGCAGATTGGAGCAAAGCTAAGGATGCTGGCAACTTCTACCGTGACGAAGAAGATGAAGCTGCAGACGCCTGTGCATCCGCTGGAAGTGCCGCACTTTGTCACTGGAATTCCGGCAGCTCTGCTTACTCATGTACGATTCGTGTGCAGGGACTGGAGGGATGAGGGGTGCTAATGGTGTTTTGTTGCTGGATGTTTTTGTTGATTAGGGAGAGTTACGTAAACGTCGTGTTCGCGTGTTTGTGAGTCTGCGGGATGTCTCTACTACTTCATTCGACGTAATGCAGAGTTTTATGCCGTTGACTGCGTCGTCAGCATCTGTGCTCAGTGTGCTAGAGCAACCAAGGTGTTTCCAGCCAACTGATGATTCTACGCGTCAAAAAAGCGCAGTGAGCGTGCTGTACACGTAAGTTGTGTATAGTGGTTGGTGCTGACTGTGAACTATGAGCACGACTGCATGGCGAAATAGACGAGTATTTCGAGCCCATTTTTCGAGTATCTCTGGTCTTGTATGAGTAGGTAATTGTGTTGTGACGCTGGTTGACACTCACCTGCAAAATAGCTACAGTCAAGCGTGATACAAGGACGTAAGAAAACGTAAATTGCTGCTTGATGTTAAAACAAACACGTAAAAACACGTAAAAACACGTTTAAACCTCTTTTCTTTGAAGCCACACCATCTGTACACAATACATTCCTGCTACCACCCAAAAAAGCTCATTCATCATGAGCGCGTTCATCCCGGCGCCTGTTCGTTCCTACACGACTTTCTCCGACGCAGAAACCGAGATAGCAACGTCTACCGCATCATCTCCACTCTCTTCTGTCTCTTGTATTCCAAAATACCCTCTACGAGTCAAACACGCGTTTATTCCACGTCGACCGGCAGATTTTGGAGACGGGGGGGCCTATCCGGAACTCGATATGGCCCAATTTCCTTTGGGGATGGGTAAAAAAAGTACCATTGGGTCGGGTTCCACTACCCTAGCCCTGCAAGTCCATGGTAGTGATGGTACCGTTAAGTACGATGCCATCGTAACACAACACCATCGTAACAAGACAAAAGTGTATACACAATTTCGGGATCTCGTGGAAAAAGACGGGGATGTTGGTACTGGTTTAATCCGTCCTACAAAAGATGAAGAGATGGAGACGGCGACACGGACAAAAGAAGCGTTACAAGCTCTTGTACAGGGCAAAGTAGCCAGTTCTTTACCAACTCATGTCGGTCGACAGAAGAGTGTACAAGAGACAGCCAAGTATATTCGGTATACTCCTAATGATCAAGGTACTTCTGGAGTTCCAAAACAACGGATTATCCGGATGGTTGATGTTGCAAAGGATCCTATGGAACCTCCTAAATTCCAGCATACAAAGGCTGTACGTGGTCCTCCATCGCCACCTGTTCCGGTACTGCATTCACCTCCTCGAAAACTTACTGTTGCGGATCAACAATCTTGGAAAATTCCACCGTGTATTTCAAATTGGAAAAATTCCAAGGGGTTTACGATTGCATTGGACAAACGTCTTGCTGCTGATGGACGAGGATTACAGCAAGTGACGGTAAATGATAATTTTGCAAGTTTGTCCGAGGCATTGGCTATTGCTGAACGCAAAGCGAGAGAAGAGGTGAATATGCGAGCACAGGTGCAAAAGAAGTTGGCAATGAAGCAAAAGGAACAGAAGGAGAGTGAGCTGCGGGAGTTGGCATCGAAAGCTCGGATGGAGCGTGCAGGCATTCGCGCGGACAGTGAAGAGGAGGATAATGATAGGGGTCGCAATCGACGTCGACGCTCAGTGAGTACGAACAGTGCCCGCCCACGTCATTATAGTGAAAACGAAGACCAGGACAGTGATACTGAAGGGCGCCAGGAGCGTGACCGGATCCGTCGTGAGCGGAAGAAGGAACGGGAACGCGAGATACGTATGGAGAAATTGGGCAAGAAAGGCAAACTGGCACGCGATGAAGACCGTGACATTTCAGAGAAGATTGCACTTGGACAGCTTCAAGGTGCCGGCAAAGCTGGTGGCAGCGATGGGATGTTCGACTCGCGGCTGTTCAACCAATCGCAGGGCATTGCTTCTGGCTTTGGCCAAGAGGACGAGTATAATGTTTACTCGAAGCCAATGGTGGATCGTGGTAAAGCTAGCGTGTACCGTCCGAAGGTCGACGATGGTGCCATTGATGCTGATAAGGAATACGAGGATTTAAAGGGAGGTCATTCGAAGCGTTTCAAGGCTGACAAACAATTTCGGGGCACTGAAGCTGTGGCTCGAGGTGGAGGACGTGATGGTCCGGTGCAGTTCTCATACGACAACACCAAGAAGGAGGATACCGAAGACGTTGACAAGACTCACTCCCCTGATACTCGCCGCATTGATGCACGTCGGTCGCCATCTGGCTCTCCACCAAGGTCTGAGATAAAGGCTCGCAAATCCTCGGCTTCACCGCTACGATCTCAGAAAAACAGCCGTGGATCTCCGCCGCACTCGCGCGGTCGTGGCCATTTGTCTTCCGGCTCGCCGTCTCGGTCAAGAGGTCGCGGTCGCTCTTCGTCGCGCTCACCACTGCGCTCGAGAAGTCGTCGACGCTCACCGTCTGGATCTCCGTCGCGCTCGCCTCTGCGCTCAAGAGGCCGCAGGCGCTCACTATCTGGATCCTCGCCACGCTTTCGTGGACGTGGTCGCTCCCCGTCTCCATTCCGTGGTCGAAGTCGTGATCGTGCAGCACTTCGAGGACGTAAGCGCTCACCATCACGTTCTCCGTCGATTTCTCGCGAGCGTGGTCGTCCCCGTGCCCGTTTGCGCTCTCCCTCGTATATACGTGGTCACAGTCGCCGTTGGCAGTCGCCGTCTCGCTCTCGATCTCGCTCTCGACGATCTCCGTCCCGCTCTCGATCTCGGAGTAGGGGCGACAGCTCGAAGCGCCGCCGCCGCTCGCCCAGCGAAGACAGTGAAGATGATCCGTTCGGACTGGACCAATTCTTGACCGATGCGCGTAAGGGAAACGGCGATAAGCGTCACGCTACTGGCCGTGACCGTCGTCGTCGCTAGGTGCTGATGTCTGGGTTTTCCATCAACACAAAACGTTGAGGAGCAGTACATCCAAGTGGTAACAACCCGGTCATCTAAGGTAATAGCGCCATCTGCACGTGTAACACGTGCTATTTGAACTGCAATACACAGACTCTACAAAATGCCAAGGTAGGCTTTGAGCGAAAACCTACAACACGATCTGGTGAAGAAGTTGATTGTATTTTCTGCATTAGTTTACAGAAGCCGGAAAGAGATGAAAGCTCGTTGACAGACATGCATTCCAGTGTTTGCTGTTCATTTGGGTCTTCCGTTAGTAGACTGACCTACTACATGTGTTGGGCTCTTGGCGACGGGATGTCGTCTTAGAGAAAAAAAGGTGTCGACTCCACCAGGACCGTCTTCCTTCTTGTCGTCTTCACCTGCTGGACGTGAATGATCGTAGGCATCATATTTTTGCGAGGCACGGATGATCTCGTGACTCTATCACTGACACCAAGTCCACCTTTTGGTTGTAACACATGCTCAATGCAAAGCATGTTGTTGTCATCCGGAAAACCCGTGACGTGTGGAAAATTAATGAGGTATCCCTCATTCACTTTGAAGTGGGTCATGTAGAATTGAAGCTGTTTCAGGTGTTCCGTCTTGAGTCCCGTGACGACTGCCTTGAGCTCTAGAATCACTGGTTTGTCCAGTTTCAAGTACAAATCCACACGTCGAGTGGCAATTGGTTGTCCCTTGTACTCGATTGGAATTTCAACTTCAGACAAGACCGTGATTCCTCGATCTTGGAGCTCGAGAGCCAAAGCTCGTTGATAAGTTGCTTCAAGGTTAAAAGGCCCAAGGACATTGAAAACTTCATTGCAAAGAAGTACCAGCTCTTGTTTTAATTGAAGAGCGCTTGTAATCCGAGGAAGAGCGTGAGTCGACGAGTCTTTGGGCTCTCCGAACGAAATTTTGTGCAGTTTTTCACGTAACTCGTCAACGACATTGCGACTTTGGATTTCAATTTCCGGTTTCAGTTGTTCCTGCTTCTTGTTACGATTTGGCCGTGTCATCGATTCCGTGGAAGTGGAAATTTGAGTTACAACTGCGACTTCATGCACTTCTCGGGTTTTACTTCGGGTGGCCATTTTTCTTGTTGCGAATAACGTTAAATGACCTTTTTCAGACCAATTTTTTTATTGACTCGATATCTAATTACGCGTCTAAATAGTAATTGGTACATTTTTATGAACATAATCTTATGTCTTTTTACTAAGAAATATTAATTTTGTGTCAGTCAAAGAAAGTGATATTTCAACAACGTGTCTCATCTCATTTGTCTTGTATGTAATTTGTACTACTGTATTTAGGGTGATATCCACACCAACTACACATGATTTTACTTTATTTAATATTATTATTTATCTAAACATTCTAATCAAAAATAAAAATGGCTCCAGGTAGGAAGAAAGACTTTTTTTAAAAAACAATTCGTCAATTTTCGATTAATTTATTATTGTTGATAAAATAGGAGGTCGTGTACGTAAAGAGCTCGATGAGTGTCAGAAAGACTCGGAATTATCGGGTGTCACGGCCGTTCCACTCCACTCGACGTCGTTATCGGAATTACGAGGTTCCATTCGAGGTCCCGAAGCCACACCATATGAAGGCGGATATTTTCAGCTCGAGATAATTATTCCTCCCAAGTAGAATAATGATGTATTCTACTTAAGAATATATACGCCCTTGCTAATCAAAAAATGGATATTTTGATATGTAGATACCCATTTGAACCACCTCAAATGCGCTTCATGACGAAGATTTGGCACCCAAATATCTCGTCGCAGACGGGTGCCATTTGTCTGGATATTCTCAAGGATGCGTGGTCGCCAGCATTAACGATCAAGACGGCATTATTGTCGATTCAAGCACTTTTATCAGCTGCAGAACCTACGGATCCACAAGATGCTGAAGTAGCCAAGATGTATCTCCATGATCAAAAGCACTTCCTTAATACTGCACGCTTTTGGACGGAAAGTTATGCCAAACAAACGGATACAGACAACAATGCGGCACTTTTGAGACTCATTGACATGGGCTTTCCATCGGTACGGATTCCATCCTTTGAGTTTTTTTTTTGGTCTTGTCTCTCTTCCATACTGGGTTTTTGGTACTCATTTTTTGGGGTCTCTTTGAATAGGATCAGGCAAAAGCTGCACTGCTTGCAGCCAATGGTGATGAAAATGCTGCCATTGAAAACTTGGTCGGGAGTATGTAGCCGAATTTCATTCTCGAGAGCTCGTGGACAAAAATGGAGAGATCACGACAGCGATTGGTTGTCGTCGAAATCCTTTATTTAGGACTTTATTTCTTCGTGGACTTTGTTTGCGTCGTACGACTGGCAGTTTTTGCACCCACTTGCTCTTTGAGCTTCTTCTTGAGCGCTTTACGCTTGTCACTGGTAAGCTTTTTCGAGTCTGTGGATCGAGTCGTCGGTTGCTGGAATGCGGCTCGCTCGAACTTGCGCACGGCGTCACCGCAGCCATGCACTTCAGGAAGTGCGTGGCTGAAGCAGAACTTGAGTTTGCAGAACTTGCACACGTTACCAAACATTGTAATGTTTTTCTTGCAACGGTTCGAATCCTGGAAGGCGCAGGTCAAGCTCTTGCTTGCTTGTCGAGTGAGAAATTCCAGCTTGTCTTCACCATCTTTCAGTTCATCTATCGGCGCAGCCTTGGCTGCCTTTGCCGCACCTTTTTTCTTCTTTGTCTTGTTTCTTTTCGTCGAAGATGGCGCTGGCGGAATAGGTTGTCGAGCGAGTCGACTCAGATGTAGATCTTTCAAGAGCGAGTTGGCATCTTTGAGATCACGACCGGCTTCCAGATTACTTATCTTGGACGGGTCCGAGCTAACTTCACCTTCATCAACGTCCTCCTGGTCTCCACTGCATTCTGATACATCGTCCGAGCTGTCGCTCATCGTCTCCATCATCTGAAAAATGCTCCTTGTTGCTGGTGCCTTGTCTTCCAACTCATTCTCGCTCTCCGGGTCCGTTGTCTGAGAAACGCTTTTGGTTGCTGCTGCCTTGTCTTCCAGCTCATCCTCGCTCCTCTTTTCCTCCTCGTCAACTACATGTTCACTACCCATAGCTGGATTTGTATTCATTGGGAACTCTTGAGATTCATATGCAGCCTGCGTAGCCTCAACAGGCTTAGATGCGGGTACGAGGTCAGCCTTCACATCATTTTTGGAGTTTCGTTCCTGCTTCGGCTTTGCATTTTTCGCATGATGAGCTTTTGCAGCAGATTTTGATGAAGATCCAGCACCCGATGCCCTAGATGGCTCGCTTTTAGCCACTGGAGCACTCAGCGCCAACATCACTTGTTCATCCACAGCTCCTTGGACAGCATCTTCCTCCAAATATTCTTGCGCACTCCGATATTCACCAAATTTTTCAAAATGGTTGACAACAGCGGCCAGAAACTTATGCGAAGAAATTGTATCCGTATCGCACACCACCGCAACATGTCGCTTTGCACGCGTGATAGCTACGTTCATGCGACGATCGTCGGATAGGAACCCAACTTGCCTCAAAGCGTTGGAGCGCACAAGACTCATCACAACAGCCTCTTTCTCACATCCTTGGAAACCGTCCACCGATCGGATTTCAAGCTTCGGATAACTTTCGAGCAATAAAGCCTTCAGAATTTGCACCTGCTTGTTGTACGGTGTGATCACTGCTATCTCGTCTTCCTTCAAGCCTGCTGCTAGCAGAGCACGAACATGCCTCGCTACGACACGTGCCTCGCCCTCGTTTGACTTTGAAAGCCGAAGAATACTATGCTCTTTACCCTCGTCATCATCAGCATCCTCTTCAAGTTCACATCCAGCGGTATCCAAGAGCAATAGTGTCGCATCCAGCAACTCATCATCTTTTGTGATGTTGACATGCGGTAATTCATGCAGCATGCGCTTTGCAACACCTTCAAAACTTTTTAGCTCCCCCTTATACATTGCCTGAGAGCTCCACTCGCTAATATCCTCGTGCATACGATATTGGGTGTTCAGCATTTTCACGATGCTCTGCGTAGTTGGAAAACTCGCGATCCGGTCGAATAGAGTCACATCCAGACCTTTTGCTGCAGCTGTCTTCGATTTGATTGTAGGTGGCAGCTGTAGATGGTCACCAGCGAGCACACACCGCTTTGCTTTTAAAATAGGAATCCAGCAAGACGCCTCAAGTGCCTGTGCTGCCTCATCAATAATGACCAAGTCGAATGTCACGTCTTTTAGTAGCTTGGATGCTGCACCTACGTTGGTAGCAAAGACCACATGACTATGTTGCACGATCTCGCCCACGACTTTCTGTTCACGCACTCGAATTTCCTTGCGGTTCGCTTTCATTTCACGTCGTAATTGGAATCGCACACTTTTATCGCGTGTCTTCTGTAGTTTAGTCTGCATAGCCGTCATTTCTTGCCGAATATCCTTCACAATGTCCGTTCCTTCTGCATGTTGAATCTTGGCATCCAAACAGTATTTAAGAATCTGTGGCAAGACACGTGCCGGATGTCCCATCCGTGTGAGTTTCAATTGTTTTTTCAATGTCAAACACGTCCTTGCTACTTTTTCCAGTACATTATCCACTGCAATATTAGAGGGTGCACACACAAGTACTTTCAAATCATATGTAAGCACTGCTTGAAGAATAAATTCAACAATTGTTGTTGTCTTGCCCGTTCCTGGTGGTCCATGAATTAATGCCAATTCTTTCGATGCCAATGCAAATTGAATTGCTTCCACTTGAGATTCATCAAGTTGTGTATTAAACAGTGTAATATCAGGAACAGGAGTCAACCAACTTGGTTCTCTCTTGAAAAAAAGAACATCCACCACAGCCTGAGCAGCTCCAAACTCCAATTTCATCATTTGGTCCAATGTTTTCGTCAATTTTGAAAAAGTGGCAGTGTTTACCAATCGATCCAGTGTAATATTTCCATTGAAAACGGTCAGTTCATCCACGTCGTCCGCGTCATTATGAAGAACCACCGAAATCTCATGGTCATTAAGACGGGATATTATACCAATGGGTACATTATTCCTTATGAGAGGATTGTGTTTTGTACTTCGCATTTGGACAAAATCTCCGACGGTAAATTGATGAGGTTTAGGTTTGTGCAGATACAGAGATGGAAACGCCAAGTGGACGACTGGACGTCCAAATAACCCTGTACAAGAGCGAGAGAGGGATAAATGAAGCAACACGTTTGGATTTTCACGATCATCCACTGTTGCTACGTCATTTCGCATTGTCTCAACTTCTTCGTTCTGTTCAAGAGATAATAGATGACGTGTAGACGCAATCCATGTCTCTAGAGGTACAGGACGACGTAGTATCCGATTATCCATAGTTTTCTTGGACATTTTTCTTACACCAAATTATCTAGATAATATCCAGGTATAAAATCGCTAAAAAAATATATTTCAAATAAAAAACCTCGATGTTTTTTATTTTTTTCAATTGCAAATATATAAGTAAAAAATCAGATTACGCAAGCAAGAGAGAGTAAAATATGGCAGACTTGCGTCGACGTCACGTCGTGAATGATAATCAAGCGTCAGATGAACGCCTACAAGAGACATCGAGACCTCGTCGTGTTGAACGACCTCGAAAAGGTTTTGTGGAGCTCCTCATGTCTCCATTGAGCTTTGTATTGGGAGATGGAGAGCCTGAGGATCCGCAGACAGCGGCTCGAAAGTTTACGTCGAGTTTACGTCAACGTTATGGAGAAAGTGTCACCCCTCGTTTTGAGCACACGTCTTTTCGGGACGCAGTCTCTACCGCTCGAACGGCCTCGAAATTTTTATTTGTGTACCTGCACTCTAATATTCATGATGACGCAGACATGTTTTGTCGGTACGAACAGCTGTTTTATTGGAAAACAGACCATTTTATTTTTATTTTTTATTTTGGGTACTCATATATTTTTTCAATGAATAATTTTTTTTTATTTAGTAAAACAATGTGTACGGAACGGATGAGCGCGTACTTGAATAATAGTGACTGTATCGTGTCCTGGGCAGGCTGTGTACAGTATGCTGAAGGATTTGGAGTGAGTTTGTCCTTGGGATGTGCTACGTTTCCATTTTTAGCGCTCTTGTCGTGTGTCTCGCGAAGTATTAATGTGGTGGAGAAGATTACAGGTGATAAAAAATGCTCTGTAAGTGTTTTTATTTTATGAAAAGTCTACTGACTTGGTAGTGTTGTTATTGTAGCCACTTTACCAGCAAATGAGATCATTGACAAGTTAAATGCAGCAGTGGATCGTAATACTCAAATCTTGGCGACGGCACGTCACATTCATCAGCAACGGACGGAAGCGCAGATTTTGCGGGAACAGCAGGATTTAGAATATCAAGAGTCTCTTGCTGCAGATCGTCGACGGGAACAAGAGGCACGAGAAAATGCCGAACGGGAAGAGATGGAACGACTGAAGAAGGAAGAAGAAAAACGACGTGTTGACGAGGAAGCTCGTCGTGCAGAAGAAGACGAGAGACGCCGGGAACAAGAGTACAAGGCCGAGATTGAAGCCAAGCGTGTTCGGATCGCAGACGGCCCCAAGTCGCACGTCCCACCGCCAGGTGCAGACTACAAGACGGCAGTGATCAAGTTCCATTTACACAATGGCACTCGTCTCGACCACATTTTTTACGCGCACGATACACTGAAGATGGTGCGTGACTTTATTGATGTCGAGTTCTTTGACCGCGAGATCACGATCCGGAACTACGAGCTGGCTACAAACTTTCCGAAAAAAGTGTATGGTCCGGATTTGGTGAATGTCACTCTCACAGATGCGGTACGTGCTAGATCGTGTTGTTGTTTGTCTGCTCTTTCTTGAACTTGATGATACTTACTGGGATGCATCTGCGTGTGGTTGTTATGGCCAGGGCCTTGCGCCACGAGCGCTCGTGTACGTACAAGACCTCGATTCGTAGACGTGTACTTTGAAGTATGAGCGCTACTGGAAAAGTTTTACGAGTGAGATGAAACGTTCATGCAGCTCATTTAGGTTCATGTGAAGCTGGACTATTTGATGACGTTGGATGGGAATACAAAGCAGTTACACTTATGGGACGGAGCAAACGCTTTCGAGCAGGCAGTGAATGCTAATGATCTTTCGAAAGTATAGTAGTAACGTAGGTGGAATAGATTCTAGCTTCTCTACAGCTGGAGTGCGCGTTGCTTGCCTGATGCTGCACGGTACATGCGATCATGCAGCGCAGCAGACTGTTCGTGAGACTCCAGAGCCACGCCCGTGATCACCACGCGCTCGACGCCTTCCACGTTTTCGGACCTGCGCAACGAGTCAAAAATGCGTTGCGAAGCCTCAACGATGTCCCCACTTGGCGAGAGGTCTTGATATGCTCGCACGCGGTCCTTCAAGCTGACTAGTTTGCCGTGAAAATCAATTACTGCCCAACGACTCACATCTTGCTCGGCCGATGCGTCCATCTTCTCAGAAGCGTCCACCTGGTACACATAAGTATCTACATCTGGAGCATAGTGCGTGATCATCTGTCCCGGTGCCTGGTGCGCCTCCTTTGTCTGCATCTTGGCTTCCTTCTGAATCGTCACGACCTCGTAGTGTCCACCTAGCAACTCCATATTCTCCTTCAGCACCTTTTCCAATGCTAGCTCCGAGACACCTCCACGACGAAACACAATCAGCTTGCGTTCCTCTGGCACGATCTTCACAACAGTCGACTCAATGCCGATTTCACAGCATCCTTCTTCACTTGCTTCAATGACACTTAAGTTCTTACATGCACCCAGATCATCCATCACATGTTTTGCCGTCGTCGGAGACACGTGACCAAATCTGTTTGCACTTGGTGCTGCGATCGGGACCTTTGCTTCCTTCAGTAGAGCCTGAGCAATGGGGTGTTTGGGACACCGAAGTCCCACAAACCCCGTGTTAGCCGACACTGTCAGCGGTAGTTCCGGAACTGCCTTGGCAATGAGTGTCAATGGTCCAGGCCAGAAAGCTTTGCCTAGACAATGAAAAACTTGTAGACCCATTGGCGTCAAGTCTACGAGCTTCACGGCGTCTTCCAGACAAGGAACGTGCACAATCAATGGATCTGTAAGAGGTCTCGCTTTGGCTTTAAAAATGGACAAAACAGCTTCCGGATTGAGCGCATTGGCGCCAAGACCATACACTGTCTCAGTAGGGAAAGCAATCAATTGTCCAAGACGTAGTTGTTCCGCTGCAACGATAAACCCTTTAGCGTCGGGTTGAAGACGACGTGCCATGATGGAAGAAAAGCGATTGCGAACGCTACAGAACGAAGTGACACGTCGTGATTGGTGCGAATGAAAGAGAAACGTCTTGAAGTGATGGTGAGGCAAAGAGAATCGACTGCACGTGTGTTCCCAAGGAGGTACGACGCGGAGAAAGAGGTGATCTCGAGACCACGAAAGCGACCAAGAGCTCGTGGCTGACACAAGCTGAGAGTTTACGTGGACCACATTGATCCGTCAATGTATACTGTATACTCGCGACTCTACCCCCTTGTTCGTCTACCAGTCTCGTCTCTGGTACAAACGATGAAAGAGACGGGACAGTGCTTTTCACTGTATGCACCAATCCAATGGCCAGTATGACTTTGCGTCACTTCATGAGACTGTTGACATGTTCAGTGATTGGTAAGCTATTGGAATCGGATCAGAGGTTTGGGCTCCAATTGAATTATTTAACGAGATACATTGACAAGATGTTCCACTTCTCGTTTTGCTCGCAACTCGCTGTAAGCTCTTGTTTTTTCTTCTTACATCAAGAAGCACGACCACGAGGGTGAAGAGTGTTTCGACAAGATGACGTTCTTTACGATTGAAGACTTTAAAATTGCTTTCAACTTCTTTTGTACCGTGTATGGTATTGGTACACTAGGTCTGCCATCCAATTTTGCTCGTTCGGGTGCTACGCTGGCCACGATCGCTCTCGTCTTTATGGGGTTTGCCAATGTTTGCTCGTGCGTAGCTCTTTCACGCGTTATGTTGGCTGCTCCCAAGAATGTCAAGACATATGGTGACGTAGGTGAATGGTGCTGCGGTCAGATTGGACGCTACGTCGTGCTATTCGTCCAATTTGGCGTGTGCTGTTTGGTGCCGTGTGCATTCTTGGTACTGGGTGGTATCCTGCTCGACGGTATCTCTCCGGACGCGTTTGATCAGCAGTACTGGAGTATCATCATGGCTGCAATGCTGCTACCGGTTATTCTGACGCCAACGCTCAAGGAAGGTGCTGCTGGTGCTTTTGCTGGATGTCTTGGGACGGTTCTTGCTGATGTGATTGCACTTGGTGTGCTAATAAAAGGCATTGGTTCGGACCACCCTTCCGTGATCAGCCCCGATTTTGACTTGGGTCATGTGGCGAGCTCATTTGGAAACCTGGCTCTGGCCTTCTCTGCTACTGTAATGGTTCCTGCTCTTCAGCGTGAACACTCAGAACCAGAGCGTATCCCCCGTGTCATCGCCACGACCATGATCTTTACGACATGTCTTTTTCTAATCATTGGTACAACATCATACTCTTTCGTCGGGTGCCAGATGCCTGGTAACCTGCTCTTCGCGATCGGTGGCACGGCATTGAACCTGAACGCGAACCGCGGTGTTGTCGTGCTTGCTTACATGTTCATGCAGTTGCACATCACCATCGCCATGTCTGTGATCCTGAACCCCGTGCTTTACATTGCTGAACGTGGTATTTTGGGCATGCATAAGCGTCCTGTGCTTCCTGCTGGCAGCGGGGAGTCTTCAGTATTTGAAATAATTGACACGCCGCTGAAAGACCATTCCATTGCTATCGTTGACAACATGGGCCAGTCTGTCATGCCTTCAACTGACGCTGAGTACCTTTTGTCACAGAAGGCTTTGCTTGACGAATACCACAACAGCGGCTCCGTCGTGATCGCGAAATACGTGACGCTGCGCATCATTGTTGTTGTGGTTCTTCTCATCATTGCCATTATTTTCAAGGACCATTTCGTAGACTTCACTGACTTTGTCGGTGCTTGGGCTGTATCAATGGCCTGCATTCTTCTGCCGATTTTCTTCTACCTCAAAGTGTTTTGGCATCAAATTCCATGGTACGAGAAGGTGTTGGGCACATTTATCATCCTCATCTGTGCTGCGCTAGGTGGGTATGTGACGTATACGACGGGAAAGAACCTCTTTTTGAACATTGTGAGTGACAAGACGTTTCAATACTGCCCGTCGGGCTACGATATGGTCGTGTATACAAACGAGACTTTCTACGACAACTACTAGAGCGCTATGTAGCACTAGAGTGAGATAGTGCGCTGTTGTGTATTATGCATGACACCGTACTAGTTCTATATTCAACATAATACCAGTGTGATTGATTATGCACGTCTTGTTGCTATTGCCATGGCTGGTCAAGAAGATGAGTGCTATACATCCGACACTTCGGTGAGAATACACTCATGCTACTCAGTGAGGTCACCAACCGAAACTTGAGAGAACACATCCACCGGAATCAATAAACGTGCAAAACAGCACACGATTTGATTCACCAGAGGCGATGCTGTATAACCCCATGCTGCAAGCTAGCAAGTACTTTTCACTTGAGATCAAAAGCTGCGTGTCCCAGTAACTCGACGACAGCGGTCACGGTGCGTGTGTCGTGACTGCCAGTAGCGACACTTGAGAGATAATGCAGATATCACCATGGAGAATGCCCATGTGAAGAGTTTGAACCAAATTGCTGAAGTGCATGTCCTGCGAGATGCGTCGACCATCTCTCTATCTGAGCCTGTACAGACCTGCAGCTCACGTATCTTTCGAGCGGGAGACTTTGGCAAATTTGAGACTCCAGCATCTCCACCGTCAAAGTCGATTCTATCAGGCCTGACCAAAAAGTATCTTGTTCGCATTCGACACGCAGTACTGGAGCATCATCATGGCTGTCACACTGTTGCGTGTTGTCGTGACATCCATTCTGTAGGAAGGCGCCTACGTTGCCTTTGCTGGCTGCATGGGCACTGTAATGTCGGACACCATCACCCTTTCCGTGTTTGCTGAGGGCGCTGGCAACGACATCAATCCTCCGGCGGACATCAATTACAGCAAAGCAGCAACTTTGTACTACAGCGGCAACTAGCCACCAACGGCTAACATCATTACTCTTATGAGAGCGAGAGATGCGTGTCGTGCCATTCACACACGGTCATGTGTCCATATTGTGGTCTGTCGTCATCTTCCAAGTTGATACTCCACCACTTGCAGATAAATAAAGAATGATCGATTGCAAACAAGTGCGTTTTTTCTGATGCAAAAAATAATAAACGTGGGGAGGCCACCTACCAAAACAGAGCCTGTAGATCGTCGCACTACGAGTTGAAAAATACTTACGCATCACGGCATAGCTTTTCCAACCTACACAGCCATGCCGCACACCTTTTTGGCAATGCGTGCAAGGATCTTGCGTCCATACGGGATGTAGCTTGCCGAGTACCTGCACCAACAAACACCATCCACACATCACGTCAACTCTTCCAGCATTTATCCATCATATCTCCTCAGCATTTTATACCAAACAGCGGCCGTAGACTGAATCAGTACCAGTAAAAGCACCATAAGTCCCAATTGCGGCGTCTGGAAAACACAAGCAGACAAAATTGTTAGAATCCATGGAAACACTTCAAGTCAAAAGCATTTTACAGACCACAATTGCTACTGTCAGTACCACGATAATCATCACGAGATAAATGATTGTTGCAATGCAACGAACAGGTTTAAACATGAGCTGAACTTGCTGCTTCGGACCGACGAGGAACCCTGAACTACATAAATATATAGTAAAACACCCATCCAACATCAGTAGGCACAAAATGATTGCACCATATCCCATGTAATCCATAGTATACCCGCAAAGTGAAATAATGTTGCCCAAACTGTACGTAACACCAAACTTGGTGCCGTTATCAGGGCCCACTATTAAGGCAACAGTTGACTGATAATAATAATAAAAAAATAGAACAATAAGAACCCTGCCCATCTCCCTTGAACCTGTGATCTTCCACTCTCATAAATGATACTTATTATTACCCCAAGACTGACGAAAAACCCAAGTACAAAACACGTTATGAACCCATTTAGGCGCTGCTTTTTGCTAAGACTCGAACACGTGCTCGGGAGTGAATCAGACGTGGAATCAGACGGTGTTGTGTCGTTGACTTTTGTCACAATTTTCTTGACATTCGTTACAATTACTACTTTCTTGTTCGTATTGTTTGCTATGCCCGTTACTTTATCACTAGCGCCATGAATTACCAACTTAATCTGATTCATTGTGATTCTAAGTTATACCTGTTAAAAAAGACAGTTGGGTGAAAGCTAAACATTTGTGTGGCAGACCCTATTTTAGCACGATTTGAGCGACCTAGGAGGTACAAACAGCAATAAAGGGAAGCAGGGGTAGGATTTTGGACCTAAATTAATGTGGCGGAATAAGCTAAGTGTTAAACTCTAGATAAGGAGGAATGCAGTGCAAGCACATGTACTTATAATTAGAGATTTGTATACTCCACGACACTAAAGTACTGATGTTGCATGCATTTGTACAAGACATTAGCTACAATGTCTTCTTGCTACTGATCTTGTCGGATTTCACCTCAACATCACGCCTCTCTCCTTTGCTACTTTTCGCTTCTTCGTCCTTGATTTTCTTCTTGAACAGCACTGGAATGAGCATACCACCTGCAAGCAAAACCAGCAACCCCAATGTTTGTGGATCCATTAAATCACTTGTACTGCGTAGAGAAGACAGCATGGCGCCTGCATTCACCGTAATGAAGTTGTACGGTAGCAGCCCAACTGCCACCGACGGAGCAAACAGCTTCAGCGGTACTTGCAGCCACGGACTCGCCATGTTCAAAAACCAATTGGGTGTCAGCGGAAACACGCGCAGAAACAGTAGCAAGAAGAAAAGCTGGCCTTGAGCTCTTGCGTCCTCGATTTTCAGTCTCAACATGCGCAATTTGCCAGGCAGTAGTCGTTCACTTATACCCATGACGATTTCGTCGGAAGCCAAATTCTTGGACAAGAGGTAGCAACAAGATGCCCCACAAGCCGTGAGCGCAGACACCAATGGAAAAGCCACTTGTAAAGGCAAAATTGCACCTGCAAACACATTGAGCAAAGCCGACCCGGGGATAGCGAACGTCTAGCATCACGTTTACGTATATCAGTAATTGAATATACACTGATTTAAGTTAATTGCTTTCCATACCTGTTTGAGGACGTAGATGCATGTAAAACAAGCCAGAGCAAGAGAAAATTGCACGGAAAATACGTGCAAGAACGTCTCGTGTGAGTGCTGTAGCTCCTGGAGTGAGGAGAAGCTGCGCACAGAGAGAGAGTCCAATTTGGATGTGACAAGTCCCAGAGCAGCGTCGTGTTCACGAACACGGCGCATCAGAAGGAAACAGAGACCTAGTACGATGCTTACAGCACTACCAAAGATCAAAGTAAGCTTTCCAGCAAGTCCTAGCAACGCACGGCGTCCTCCGTTATTACGCGGACAAGTAGACGACATGGTCAATGATTATAATGGCACAATATATGTTTCAAATGTATTGGTATTCGTTATTTGTAATCAGTACATTGAAAGCTTGTACATCGCGGACATCACGTCAAGTGCTTTTAGTATGTAAAACATGTGACTTTTAGTATTGTACAAGACTTTGAAACAACCGAATGAATATATATATTTCACTTTGACTTTCTTGTAGTTTTAGAGTAGCAACTGCCTTGATACCTGGAATAATATGCGTATTTCTTGGCTGGGTGTTGTACAGTATATTGTGGTGACTAAAAAGTCTTAAGCATTGCTTGTCATTGTATAGGTTATTTTTAGATGGTTTATCAAAACAGGTTTTTTTCGTCCTCTATTAGCTTAGAGCACACGATGCTACCATAGAACAAAGAGTCAATGTGAGTTTCCAAGTCTCAAATCTGAAGTGCCATGATAGGTATTTGGTTGCTCCAAGTCGAAATGAGAAGGGCAGAAAACAACAATGACGCAGTTTCGCACATCGGGTCGTATCCCTTGACGAAGGGATCATTATGTGCATGCACAACGCTACAATGTCCCTCGGACTTCTATTTATTTGAAGCTCCGTTGTTTCGGAAAACAGGGTGTAGAGCTGCTTTTAAACGAGTTGTCGGACGAGAACCGAACATCGGCCGACTGCCAACGCTACACGTGAGGCCAACAGCAGCATTTTTACCAACTACACCGAAGATTTCTAATGGAGTGATCTTTATGCTTTAGTGCGTTCCTCCTTCTTCAGAGCTCTGCTCTGAAGACGCACTATCTATCTAGAAACTCATATGCATGCTTTTAGTGCTAACGCCTTTGCTCTACAACATAGACAACAAGCTGCATATAGATTACATCAAGAAGAGATCCGCTGCTATCGGTGAAATGAATGACAACATTTTACAGCAACTCAATCGACGGTGATGTGCAAGATCTCTGGATGGTCCTGAGCCAAAATGTCAGCACTAGTTGGCCCGGCGGTATATTGTGGCCGGCCACCGTAGAACTTGGTGGCTCTCTACGGTCGCGCTCTGACTGGTACATGCCCCCAGGAAGATTGGGTCCATTGACGGGTGACTTGCTGCCTGGTCCAGTGACCAGTAACTCTATCTTAAAGCGCTGCGGCGCAAGCATCTTCCCAAAACAGATAAACAATGGTCTCCTCACTGCCGCTACAGGTCGGTGTTTTTCTGCAACTAGTTGTGTTCGTTCCTTGCAGCGTGATACAGATTCAATTATCTCGTCGTCACCCGGTACCCTGTTCAGACTTGATATGGAGTATGACCATTACTACTTGCGTCAGCTTTTTTTTGCCAGAGCGCTGTGCATTACCATTCATCTGTCGTTGTCGATCGAGAAAGGCGATCAACGAACGCCGAAAGTTGACGGGCGTGAATTTTCTTTGTGGAACCGGATAGCTTGGTTGCTTAAGGTCTTCATGATGAAGTGATTAGACGTCGTGTCCGTCGGCACAGACCAAAAAAGAACCGATGAAGCGCCTCAAATACCAAACCTCGTGTCGAATATCGCGACAACTCGCCTGTCGCAAACCGTTAGTGACCTCCGGCAGTGTGTGATCTGTGGCCAAAACCAGTGTATCCCATCCTCAGCTTGGTACAGAGTGACGGGCCGAATTTGGTCCTTTAACTGTCGAGTGGTTTTCGATGATGCTTTCGCTCACAAGCCTCCAGCGATAGGTTTCCAAACTCGGTGGGAAGCTACGATAACAACAATAACCTTGTTACTCAAGCTACAAAGTACTCGATGAGTTATTGCCATGATATCCAGTATGTCAACAACATGTATGGAATCTTGGACAAGATTTATGCAAAGGATATCTATCACATGTAGTGTCGCGTCTTAGAAGATAGGGACCCCATCCAACTGTTTCTCATGCAACAACTGTCTCCATTGTGAACAATGGAGCAATCGAGTAGTTGTAAACTATTCTGACGGCGTTTTGCAGGCAGTTCACGACCGCAGTATATAAAAACTAGTATGTTAATCTACTTTCTCTTGATACACACACCGTCAGTCAGAACACTCTCCATGCTCAGTATTCAAGACACGGTCTTTTGTGCAATCTTGAGATATTCTGGTCCGAACAGCCAGGTCTAGGAAAAAAAACAATCATACACGATACTGTAATAGCCCGAGCCTCATTCGTCCTGCGACATCAATACTAATTATACTATGACAAGAGGACCAGACACCACAAAATTTGAGTTCTTTGGCCTATCCACGGATCAACATCTTCTACGCATCATACGACCTGACTCCAAGTCTTTCTTGATCACTCGTACAAACTGCACGCGTGCATTTTCACATCATATCACAATTTGTCGCACAAACGAATAAGACATTGGAAAGAGACAGAGAGAGCAAAGAAAAAGATGCGTCTAAAGTATGTCGTACTGGCAATTGCTCTAGGCTCGATATCGAATAATGACGGCCTTGTTACTGCTGACAACTCGGAGAATCTCCGACGTGGTGTTATCCAAGAGCACAAAATCGTTTCCTTTGCATCAGAGACGGAGACGGGAGAATCTCCGACGACGACAAGAAAGCTCATTGTTACTACTGCGCCATCTACCGATGAGTCGGATGATACCCAGTCTAATGTTAAGTCCTCGACGGGTGACAAGGCCGACATGGACAAACTGCTGAATGGCTTAACGGCCACCGGCAGTGGGCCGACGGGCGATAAGGTGGACATGAAAATGCGTATGGCTGATAGGACCGGCAGGGGCCGTTGGGCAACAATGATAAATGATTGTAAAGAGCACCTTGGGCAACAATGGTCCTACTCGGCCCCCGACGGCCAAAAACTTGGCCGACCTGGATAAAATGATGGATGGCTATATAAACGCCGGTAGTGGCTCGCCCGATGACGAGAGTGACCCTAGTGTCAAATCCGCAAAGGAAGACGTTAACGAGAAGGAAGACCCAGTCGAGAAGACCAACCAAGTTGAGAAGGAAGACCCAGTCGAGAAGGAAGACCCAGTCGAGAAGGAAGACCCAGTCGAGAAGACCGACCCAGTCGAGAAGACCGACCCAGTCGAGAAGATCGACCCAGTCGAGAAGACCGACCAAGTCGAGAAGGACGATTTAGCCGAGAAGGAAGACAATGACAAGAAGGAGGATCCAGACGAGAAGGAAGGCAAAGATGACAATGTTGAGGATGGCTGGCTTAAGGGCATCTTGAAACCGGGCAGTGGCGTGAACGATGGTGTTACTGACTCTAGTACCAAATTTTTGACTGAAGAGAAGGACGACAAGGCCGATCAAGCTGAGAAGGCCGAGAAAGTCGAGAAGGACGTTCTAGCCGAGAAGGAAGACAAAGTCGAGAAGGACGTTCTAGCCGAGAAGGAAGACAAAGTCGAGAAGGACGTTCTAGCCGAGAAGGACAACAAGGACGACAAGGTCGAGAAGGACGACCTAGCCGAGAAGGAAGACAAAGACAAGAAGGAGGACCCAGACGAGAAGGATGACAAGGCCGACATGGAAAAACTGCTGAATGGCTTATCGGCCACCGGCAGTGGGCCGACGGGCGACAAGGTGGACATAAATGCGTTGCTGAAGAGCACCTTGGGCAACAATGGTGCCACTCCTACTCGGCCCCCGACGGCCAAAAACTTGGCCGACCTGGATAAAATGATGGATGGCTATATGAACGCCGGTAGTGGCCCGGACGATGACGACCCTACTGCTGAGATTAAGAGCGACAGCAAGAGTCCTGATACTTCTCTAACGAATGCGGTAAATGAAGCTCAAAGTCCAAGTGACTTGGCTACTGTCCAACCCTCGACGGAGACTGATCCGAATGCGGTAGCAACGGATAGCGTGCCTGGACCAACTAGCCTGGGTAGTGTAAGCATCCCTGTACCTGGTACACCGACGACTGCAACGACGACTGTACCGACGACTGTACCGACGACTGCACCACAGGCTCCGCTCGCCCAACCGACGTGTTCTCTCTGGGGTAAAACTACGAATTTTTTTACACACGATATACTCGGACATCCCGATAATTGTCCGTAGTATCAGACGCAGTATGCATTCCTGTGAGGTGTTCTATTGACGAATTTAAAGTTACACCATTTCTTGCGACTTCTGTTGTTGTTGAACTGCGTTGAATTTTTAGTGAATTCAGGTGGTAAACGCTGTCGAAATCGTGACTGGACACCAATTCTGGTGGAATCGAGTAGGCAAGTTCGAGACAATGGTCAAGGAAATGTGTATGTGTTTATCAAAGGTGTCATGCTTGACATGGATACAGACAAGAAATGATAGCTACACACCTACGGACGTGGACCGAAACCAATCCTGACGAGTGGAAGAGTGACGTGGTGTTGCTTGGAGACGGTGGCTTGACACAAGGAACTAATCTGCCCCTCGCCGTCTTTGCAAGAAAAGTAGTGTCCGTCATGTATTCGATTGGTTTTATCGACCGGACCCCTGGACATGGAGGATCTTCACGGGATATCGGTGTTACGGCATGGAAAGGGGGGAGTACTTGACTTCGCAGTTGGAACAGGGGAGCTTACAACTGCGAACAACGCTGTGTACAACGGCGACTGGCGACAGCGACTCAGCTCGCAACCAGCGTCGAGAACAGAGTATTGATTGTCAAGATATTCATGCTGCCAGTCATGTTGTTCACTGTGGCAGTATGTAAGATGCCACCATGGGTAAAACACCAGGTAAGGAACCTTTAGAGGCAATTCCTGTGGCATCACTCTACCAGCACGTAGCCCAGTCACCATAAGATCAATCCAACGCTTTGTACACGCGCCTCCATACCGTTTGCATGCAAGACGCAGCGGGTGAAACACGCTATACTCTGGATTTCCCAACGCAAAGACATTTATGTTCTGGCCTGCAGGCATGGGCTTTCCGCGGAGCAACGCAGGACTGGACAGCCGAAGTGTCTTTGTGCCAAGATAGAGGACGCAGTTCGTTAAGAATCGCAGGACCCCTGGAAACACTCTCCAGCAGTTGATCGGACTTTGCTGTTACGAACACTACCGGACCTCGAAGATAGACATCAGCAGTACACAACGGAGCTTGAAAGCTGCACTGGAGTTGATCAGCTGGACGACAACGGAAGAATGGGGTGGAGCTCTCTCGATCACTCCGGGAAGACACAAGAGGAGGAAGCATTCTGCTGACCCGCATACTCTTTGGGCTAAGAACCCATGGATTGTGGACCAGCACGGAAACGGTTCAATGCCATGGAAGTATGACAGCCATGCACTATAGCGGAACTGCAACTGCATCGAATTGGAGAGCGCACGTACTCTTTCGTCATTCCGACAGTAGGTGCAACCACGCATCATCAAGCCAAGCTGCGACGATGTGGACTAGCGATTTTGCTGAGCGCACCGAGCGTATTCTAGAGCGGTAGTGTAGCAACTGAATCACTTTCATCCAGACCGAGGGCAAGATAACAGTTGCCACAAGCTCCAATGCTGCCAAGGAGTGAAAGAAACACTGGAACACATATGCTCGGCATGTCCGTGCGCGCAAGCCTGCTGGCAAAAGCTCATCTGCCACCGGACAGGAGAACAATGGGAGCTTGGACGGCTTTTAAGCTTCCTTGCAAACACTGTAAGCAGACGCACGCCAGGACTATCCAAGGTGATCCAGGAACAACTCACCAGACACCACCCAGACGAGGTGACTGCTACGCCGCCGTGTGGACACGCATATGGCACATTCTGAGCAGCGTTTGCATCACCACTGCGTTGATAACAATGAGAGCACGCCGAGATTTATTTGCCATTTAAAAGTAATAAAGGTATTTTTTAGATGCCGCTTTTACGTGGCAACTACCTACAAGCTATTGATCTACATCCTAATTCTACGTTCAATGCCTGGAATCGTTATCATGCTGGGGTTATACCGAGCGACGCATTCGATCGGTACAAATAGTTGCGTTCCACTTTAAAAGACGCGCTGACAATTAGTGTGCTGATTAAAATACTACTTCTGATATGATATACACGTATACTCTTTGTGTACTGATCTTAGTTAGGTATGATGATTTTAATAATGTCATTGTCTGAAAATCCAATTAAATTATCACGAAATAAATAATTAATTAATAATAGTGACCTTTTCAAAAGCGACAAATCTATGAGCCATGGGTATTCCCGAGTCTTTTAAGACAAGAGCTTCAGAGCTCGACTTGCTGCTTGAAAATAAAGGGGAAGATGTCATCAATTACGACACCGTGAACAAGAGTCTCACCTTATCAGTTGGAGAAATCAAAACTCCTGATGAAGAGCCCACAACCCGTGGTTTTAGGTACGTTTTCCACACTTTTTGAAACGTAGTATTAATGTACTGATTTGTGTTAATTCTACAGCTGGAAGACATTGTGGGCTTATGCCGGTCCAGGATGGCTCATGAGCATCGCCTATGTGGACCCGGGCAATCTTGAGAGTGACCTCCAAGCTGGAGCTTATGCTGGATATCAACTCATTTGGGTTCTTTTTGGAGCCACGGCAATGGGCTTTTTTCTTCAAATTCTAGCGGCACGATTGGGTGTTGTTACTGGTAAAAACTTGGCTGAAATGTGCACGGCAGTCTATCCACGATGGGTGTCATTGACATTGTGGATCATGACAGAGATCGCAATTGTTGGGAGTGACGTCCAAGAAGTTTTAGGCTCGTCCATTGCATTTCAAGTACTTTTTGGATTTCCTCTCTGGATTGGATGTCTCATTACGGGATTCGACACACTTACTTTCTTGTTGCTTCATCGCTACGGGATCCGGAAGCTTGAAGCATTCTTTGTCACATTGATCGGGGTGATGCTAGTCTGCTTCTGTGCCAATCTCGTCCGTGGAGAAGTAGCAGTATCGGATGTTATCGGTGGCTTTCTACCACGTGTTGATCGATACGCGGTGACGCAAGCAGTGGGCATTCTTGGAGCTGTGATCATGCCACACAATATTTTCTTGCACTCGGCACTTGTGCAGAGCAGACAAGTGAATCGATGGGATGGGCGCAAAGTACGCGAAGCGAACAAGTACTTTGCAATTGAGTCGTGTCTAGCTTTGTTCGTGTCGTTCTTGATCAATTTGGCAGTGCTAGCAGTTTTCGCAAAGGGTTTCTTCTCGCCACAATGCACAGCATCTTATGATACGAGCAGAGTCAATACAGCTTGTGTTCCTGGGGCTATTGCTAATGGTGACACGTATGGTTACTGCCAGCTTGCTAGCGGTGGCGAAGGCATGTGCCAGGAAATTGGTCTATCCCAGGCAGGTGTGGCACTTAGTGGCATGTTGGGACAGTACGCCGACGTCATTTGGGCAATTGGTTTATTGGCTGCAGGACAGAGCTCTACTATGACAGGAACTTATGCGGGTCAATTCGTCATGGAAGGATTCCTCCAACTTCACCTTTCGCCATGGAAGCGGGTAGCACTTACACGATGTGTGTCGCTTGTTCCTGCAATGACTGTAGCGATCCTAAGCCAACAAAATCCTGCAGATAGTGACCACATGGACGAGTTGCTCAACGTGCTGCAGTCCATCCAGCTCCCATTTGCTCTCCTCCCTGTGCTGATATTTACAAGCTCACGTGCCATCATGGGAGACTTTGCGAATAGTAAAGCAACGGTGGTACTTGGCTGGCTATCGGGAGGCCTCGTGTGCGTCATTAACCTCTACTTGATCTTCACAAACCTCGAAAATCTAGCTTTTGGTGCTGTCGGACTCATTGCATTGGGAGGCACGGGTTGCTTGTACTTTGGTTTCCTAGGATATTTGGCGTTTGCCAATATGAATCAATCCGTTCAACGCACAAACACAGCGTCCGATTGTCGACGTATATCATCATAAGACATTGTGTTTGCAATGAAATGTAAAATGACTACAATTCTGGCACTGCAGCAACACCTCATCCGATACAATTTAGAGAACGACGATGGCGTTTTCTGTCTACTACATCTGCATTAACGTACCTCCATAGAAGTCCATACACTAAACGTTATCCTCCTGTATGTTTTAACATCTGGTAAGCCATAATAGAGTCGAGAGAGCGAGCCCTGATCATTTCTACTCGGCGTAATTGCGTCCATACGTCTCAACGCGTCTGACTCGACGTCTCATCGCCTTCTTAGCTCTTGCTTTCCACAACTTTAGCAACTTCTTCGTTCTTTCTTGTACTTCCACGTCTTTTGTTCGTCTATAAAGTCTCGTAAGTGTCACGCCAATCCGTGTCTTTTCCAGCATCTCTAATGAAATAAACACTGGTTCGACTGCCTCCAAGATCCTCAACATGTTGGTACTCGTTTTCGCTTCATTTAGTTCCTCATTCAGGTACTGAACATGCTCCTCTGACACTACTTTATCCCCATGATGAATAGTCGTCTGTCGCTGTCGTTTCTTTCGCTGCCATTGAGACGGAACGGCGTCTACTAACGATGCCGCTAATGCCGCAGCCGCGTCTCCACGCAAGACAAACTTTTCCATCATCTACATGGCTACATTGAAGTGCTGTACATCAAACATTGATTGCGCATGCCGCATGTTTGGCCAATCACACAAGAAAGTACTCAAAAAAATGGTACGTGTGGCCAGCAGCCACTTCCCAATATTATTATTATTATTAAATACGACCTTAATACATTATGAAGGATAACAAGACGTATCATATTGCAGTCTTACCAGGCGATGGCATTGGCCCTGAGGTTTGTAACCAAGCAGTACAAGTCCTTAAGAAAGTGGGGGAGCTATTTCAGCATCAATTTGCATTTACAACGGCTTTATGCAGGTGGCGCGGCCTATGACGAACACAAGACACATCTTCCTCAATCGACGGTGGACCTTGTCGCCGCTTCAGATGCTGTACTTTTTGGCTCAGTAGGTGGACCTACAGACGCTCAGGAAGATCCTAAATGGAAAAATGCAGAAAAGAATTGTCTATTGGGTCTTCGCAAGAACTTTCAATTGGCTGTAAACATCCGTCCGGCTAAAATCTACTCGATGCTGCCGGATTTATCACCGCTTAAGCCCAGTATCATTGCTAATGGTGTTGATATGGTTATTGTCCGTGAGCTTGTGTCGGGGATTTACTTTGGTGAACACACTACCAGTGGTGACACGGCTACGGACGTGATGAAGTACACGGAGGCAGAGGTAGAGTGACCTAGATCTATTGAAATGTGATGCTAAAGGTGTAGGCACTGATATATGTGACGGGTTGTGGAAATTGTAGATTGCTAAACCCATGAAGTTTGCCTTTGAGACCGCTATGAGCGTACGTGTATTGTACTATCTCAAGCGAAGGGGTAGAGAACTTACGTGAAATACTCTTGTTGCAGCGCTCGAAGAGATTGACGGTAGTGGACAAGGCCAACGTGCTGGACTGCAGTCGGCTGTGGCGCAAAGTAGCCAAGAATGTATCCAAGGACTACCCCGAGGTCAAATGTGACTTTATGTATGTCGGTGGTTTGGATTTGTTTGTGTTTGCTGCTCTTGTCTTGGAAACATTGCTGATCTTTTGCTTGGTTGTATTGTACATGCAGGTACATCGATAACGCAGTGATGCAGCTGATCCGCAACCCGTCACAGTTTGATGTGATCGTGACGGGCAACATGTTTGGTGATATTCTATCGGATGCAGCATCAGTGCTGCCAGGATCGCTTGGTCTCATGCCCTCAGCTAGTCTCGGCAACAAGGTTCACTTGTTCGAGCCTATCGGTGGCTCAGCACCTGATATTGCTGGCAAGGATTTGGCCAACCCCATTGCGCAGATTCTGTCAGCTGCAATGCTGCTGCGCTACTCATTTCAGATGGAATCTGAGGCACTGCTGATTGAAAAGGCCGTGGAGGAAGTACTTTTGGACGGTGTGCGAACGGGTGACCTGACGAAGGATCAGTCTACTGTAGTTGGCACGAAGGCGATGGGTGTCGCCATTATTACCAAGATGCACGCACTCCACCAATAAACAAGGATAGCAGCGTTTGTATCGGGATGATAGGCGATTGTCAAAGAGTTTGTATAGAGATGACGCCGTTTGAAGGTACGGCAGCTTGAGACTTGACAGTTGAACAGGCTACATTGATTCTTGATGGCACGAAAACTTACTGAGTTAGTTACTTCACTAATCTTTGTAAGACATATATCTTGGTCTGTTCAGTACAATGTCAGAGCGCTACTGTTCGTAGTCGACGAAACGTAAACCAGTGTTTAAGTCGTTGCAGGACACCCTTGTTTTGGAACTTGGTCACAACTCGCTTCTTGCCATCGCGCTTTGCTTGACTGTGGGTTGGCGTGAATCCAATTACAGTGATGGGCGCTACTCGTTCTTCCGTATTCGCAATCGGCTCGCGAGACTTGACCAATTTGTTCGGTGTAACGTCTTTTTCAAAGGACATCAAGTTGCGAGTCGAGTCAGATGCAGCAATTTCAGCGGCGAAACCATTGCTGCTTGCAAGCGGTAACATCATGGTCACCAGCACGATTTGAAAGGCTTGGATGACACGCATGCTTCTTTGACTTAATGATGAGATATCCTGTCGCTGAATTTGGTTGGTTGGTGGATGCCAAATGGTTAATGGGAAGCTCAAGATCAGAAGAAAGCTGTTTCCAGCACACCGTGACCAAACATTCAACAAGATCTCCCAATCCTGGGATCGGATATCTTGGGCAGATTATGGAGCTTGCAAAGGTGGACTCGAACTACTATCCTTTATGGATGGGAAGACGAAAGAGACGGCTGGCTGACAAGCAGTATTAGATACCCCCTTACCCATACAAACGTGTATTCAACGCCTCAGGTGATGACTGTCTTTCGCAGCAGTACATTGCTTGCTGAGAACCTGATTCTTCTTACTAAGTCGGCCCATGGACCAGTCGATTCTTAATGCTTCTGTCTCTTCAGCTGGATTTTTATCAAAGTCTTCTGTTCCATTTGTAGAACTTCTTTACTATCACGCTTGAAGGTGGAAGTGGTGGGGGGGGGGGGTCATCAGCAGCAACGTCAGTCGAACAGATATGAGATCGAAGGACACGATATAATGTAGCGCAGCTGCTGATCGGGTCTAGCTGTTGTTGAACTTGAACTTACATGACAGGAAAAAAACTAGATGAGCTGGACGTTGAGGTACGACGCTGTTTCGATTCTTTGCAGCCCTGGAATGGTTTTTCCTGGAGAAGTTATGAACCAAACTCTTCAGCTTCGTTCATGATTGATCTTTTTTCTTACGACTACACACAACTTTCCTAGGAAAAGCACAGCCCCGCTGCAAGGCACATCCTACTCTTACAAATGGTATTGTATCTACTAGAGTGCAAGACATGGTGGTGCTTCAGGTAGTACTATGTATTGAACCACACATAGTGTTGCCTGGTGGACTCTTGTCCCGCCTCCGGTTTTTCTTGCAGCAACTCAAGCATTCTCGGATCGAAGAGGTTCGAGGATCATATTGTGGCAAGCCATACCTTTTTCATGGAATAAATACAAAAGATCACGGAATATAGTCCCATGTCAAAAGGATACGGAAAAAAATGGTGACTCGGTTGACAACTCACGACGACTATTCATAGTGTTGAAACATTGATTTAACCACTTTCAATGGCACTCGAGCGGGGAGGACGAACTTACTGATGCGTAAAAACGTGATTAAACCCTTTTTTTGATAAAACCCTTTTTGTCTCGGTTGAAACGGATACTGTTTTTACACTTTTCAGACTGTAGCCATTTTCCCTCTGAGTACCCACTCTCAACCAAGCATTTAACAAAAAGTGTAGCCATGTACGCTGGGGTGGACAAGTACGGAGGAGCATTAGTAGGCGAAGGTCAATCGGATGGGAATTCTTCTACTTTTAATGTTCCAATTTCTGGTATTTCATTGGAAGAAGCAATTGAAACTGCTGCCGCAGAGGAGACCGTGGTGGTCGATGTACCGTATTCGTACTTGGAAGACGAAAAAGACACAAATTCTCTGGTTTCGGGCGTCTCAAAAGTGCTGCTTTGTGCTCAATTGAATCCCGAAGCAGGTGGACTCATGTGGGTGGAACAAAATAGTCCACAAGGAACTTATAAGAACATCGTGGCCATGTCTCAGATGACGTCAATGTTGCGGGATAAGGATCGAAATGACTGCTATGAGCATGGAATTAAGCGAGCCATTGCTACGTTCAAAGCAGAACATGGTCGAGCCCCATTGGTGCTTGATATTGGCACGGGTACAGGCTTATTGTCCATGTTTGCTGCTACCCATGGTGCTGAGCACGTCTACGCTTGTGAGATGTTTGTACCCATGGCTGAAATCGCAGAGCAAGTGACTGCAGCCAATCACCCTGATAAGATTACAGTCTTTCAACTACGGTCGACGGATTTGAAGGTTGCACCGGAGAACGAGGTAGACAAGGACCCCAACATGACGTACCACTTGCCAAGACGGGCAGATATGCTGGTGTCGGAGCTCTTTGACTCTGTTCTGTTGGGAGAAGCAGTGCTGCCAACACTTCGTCATGCGATGCAGCACCTGCTCGTTCCAAACGCTACAATTGTGCCCGAGCGTGCTACAATTTTTGCTCAGGTCATCGAGAGCGAGTCGGTTTTCCAATTTAATAGTTTTCAAGTGCCCCAGACTCAGCATGAGATGGGTTCGATCGCTCGAAGCGAAGTAAAGCTAGCAAGGAGTGATACAGCGTGGCAATGTAAAGGTGGCAAGCCAGCTTTGCCAGTGCATTTCCGTGCGCTGGAAAAGGACTCCAAGGTTTTGACGAAACCCACCAAAGTGCTAAGCTTTGATTTTACCAAGCCGACAACGGGAGCTGTGGAGTACCAGGAGACGGTGGTTGATGTGGTCAAAGGAGGAACGGTGCAAGCCGTTCTTATGTGGTGGGAAGTAAGCTTCGACACGGACAATAGTGTTGTGTACTCTACGAAGCCAGACGCACAAAACTGGCAGGATCACTGGGTGCAGGTGGTTTTTCCGCTTGTGGAGAACATCCAAGCGAGGCCTAACGAAAAGCTTCTCCTGCGTGCTTACCACGATGATCTTCATGTATGGTTCGACGTCGAAGGTGCTATAGAAAATGAGTCATCAAAAACACCTAAGTGCTCCGTGTTGAGTGAGAAACCTCCGTGCACTTGCGGAATGCACCTTATTTGCAACGCTGAGCGCATCTCCATGCTTACCGACACTGCACGTCGCGAAGCCTACACAGCGTCGTTTTCCTCCACCATCGCTGAGCTTACCAAAGATACAACGTTACACTCGATTTCCTGTCTGGATATTAGCGATGGATCGATGTGTGCACTACTGGCTGCTACGCACAAGCAAATTTCAAGTGTGACCTCAATTGAGTCTAAGGAAGTGTCAGCACGAATCTTCGATCAGATTTTGACCTACAATGCCGCTAACGTCGAGGTTCTCAATAGTGGTGTAAAGGGTCTGCTGCCAGAACACCTCCATGGTGAACCTCTAAGCGTAAATCTGCTAGTTGGCGAACCCTTTTACTATTCGATGCAAAACCTTCCTCTGTGGCAGGCTTTCAACTTCTGGCTGCGACGTTCAGCTGTTAGTGGCCTTTTGCACCCAAATGCCCGAGTACTGCCTGCCCGCGCGAGAATACTGGCTCAAGCAGTACGATTTGATCACCTACACGAATGCTTTGGCGCAGTGGGAAATGTTTCCGGTTATGACCACAGCTGCTTCGATCAGTTCCAGGACGAATACTACACGCGCAATTTTCCGTTTCCCGTCTACATGTATCCCTACGAACAAGCATCGGACGTGATTGAGCTTGCTACTCTGGACTTCATGCAAATAGCGCATACGATCGCCTCTAGCGGCAATATCCTTCTGAAAAACTCGACAGCAAATGCAGTGGTCGTGTGGGTCGAGTACGCTTTGGACGTAGAAGGCCACTACGTGGTGGCTACAGGTCCAGCTGTGCGCTATGCGAAGCAACTCATCCGATTCCTCCCACCGGTGCCATCTACACCTGCTGGTGCCGCAACTAAGCGTGTCGTAGCATCACAGTTCTACTTTGACTCGCTGGAAGGCACGATCGAGCTCAGCTTTGAAGCCACATAGACACACAATAGACGTCGTTTGCATTTTGATCCATATAGTGATGATATCTACAAACAGAGCTCCCGTTTTCCTTACAATGGCTCTCCACCGTACTTCCGTGCACCAATGGACAAAATACTAGTGTATCGCGCAGCAGTTATTCATTCTATCCAACATTCATCGCACGGGTCAAACACAACACGATAGACTTTACATTGAAGCCTCAGCTTTTTTCGTCTTGCCAGCTTTGCGCTCTCGAAGCTTGTGTAGGTATTGCTTACGCTTTACTTGCTCTTCCTTGTACATCTGCGTTCGGTGCTGCTTAATTGCTTCCAGTTCCTCATAGAGCCCTAAAGCCACATTCTCTTGAAGGTCTAATGACCAAGCATTAGTGCGCAAGTGTGTAGTCAACTGGCAGAAAATGTCATGATTCTCTTCACGGGAAAATCTAGCCACGACGTTACGCAGAAACTCCCACAGGTCTAAGGACACCTCCTCGACACCATTGCAGATAGGAAGCTGAGCCATGTCCACGATCGTCAGGAAAAAAACACCCAGCTCGATTTCCAGCTCTGTTGGTGCTGTCTGTTCCTGTTCCGGAACTGACGCTGACAACAATGGTTTCTGCGTGAAAAACTGCTGCACTAGCTCCAGAAACTCTAGACTCTCTGCGTCCTCAGGCTCCACCTCAAACCCCAGCTTGCGCGCTACGTCCACATTTTGCTTCACTTGCGCAGCAGCATTAATTCGTGCACGCAGACGACTCACAAAAGTCCAACGTGCCGCCGACTGGAAAGGTGGGCCACGCACCGACGCTCCCGGTGCCAAAACATCCACAGGCGGAAATACACGACTACGCACCAAGGATGATTCAAGACCAACATAATCATCAACCAGTGACGTCACACGCTCCTGAAACTCGGACGGAGTCTCGAGACTGTCTGGTGCATCGACCAGTACCAGCGACGTGAGTGACGGACCCCCCTCCTTCTTAAAAGCACCTCTAAATTGAGCCGAGCGCTCCATAAGCACGCCGTGTGCACTAAGACTGATCTGCGCGGCGCGGGGCAAATGCAGCAACTGCACTAATCCTTCCACTACTGTCGTATGAGTAGCCAAGTCATCATACACCACGACACTGTGTTGAGATTTGCCGTTTTGCATCAAAAACTCAGCAATAGCACAGCCAGTGAACGGCGCCAAGTACTGCATCACGAGCGAGTCCCGGTCACTCGATGCAACAATTGTCGTGTATTCTAGAGCTCCAATCACTTGGAGTACGTCACGAATCTGATGAATCCTCGCCGCGCTTTTGCCTACACACACGTAGACAAACTGTGGTGGCACTTGTCCGCACGCTTTTGCTCGTGCCACTTGATGTGCAATCACATCCAATGCTACCCGCGTCTTTCCTGAATTTCTAGGACCCAGTACTGCAAAACGATGGCCATGAGCCATTGGATGCAGACAATCGATTGCCAATAGACCCGTCTCGAAGGGCGAGTACAGTGGAGCACGTGCCATAACGCCCGGTACACTTTGCGCGCCCCACGTGACCTTGACACAATCATTTGCCACTACCTTCTCTGTATCCTGTTGCTCGTCCAGCTGCACTGCTCGTCCCAATGGGTCCACTACTGCACCAGCAAAGGCCACAATACTGCCAGGGACTTCTAGCTGCTTACATTCGAGCGTGACTTCCATTCCCTTGGACACAGGACGGGCACGAGATTCGTCGTCACTGGCGTTAAGTAACGCGACGTGCGCCAGCTTCTTCTCCAGAAAGAGCACAAGGCCACGACACAAAAACTGGCCGGATGCGTCGGACACCGACACAATGCTGCCGATAGTAGCGTGACGTAGCCCCGAGACACGCGCCAGTCCGTTCTGCACGCCCATGATGACACCACTAACCGGAAGCTCTGATTGCACCATCGACAGTGGCACGTCATAAACCCCTTCATCGTCCTCGGCGAGCTTCATAAAGTCGAGCATCTGCTGAGCCAATGCAGTCTCCGAGTCGTCCATTGTATTGCGCCCATTGCCGACCAGAACGACGCTAGACACGTGAAAATTGCGATGTGGAGTAACGCAGACGAAAAGTGAGGTATAAGGAGGGAAGAGCACAGACGAGCGGCTCTGGATGAGACGCAGGGGACGCAAAAGACGCGACACGGAACGCCCAGCTCCGCTCATTTTGACTTGAGACGGTTTGAAAGTAGAGTGGAGCGAACTTTTTGTCGGATATAGGCGTATCTTGTGTCCAGGACGATACTTTTCGACCATCACTCTTCTTTTCGTACCACATGTCAATTTTACGACAGATACTTACGCCACGATCCATTAGTGATTTTGACACCAGCATGACACTTGAGACGATGGTGTCTACACTAGTGACGTCCTCGGACAGTGATCTTCAGGCGTATCTCTCGAGTGACCAAATGCCGTCACTTCTTCACTCGCTTGATGATTATTTGATGCGTGGTACAGCGCTGCAGACACGTGCAGATTGTGACAACGATGAGACTCAAGTGGCAGCCGCCAGAGCACTCTCCGTCGACGCTAGCGCCGTGTTCTCGCTCTTTCTTCGTCTAACAGATGCTTCAACGGAGTTGCAACAGCTGGCGATGAACTGTGGGCTCTTGCATGTTACGAGATTGGTCCCATTCTGTCAACTTTACGGTGTCAAAAATGCGAATGCCGTGGCGGACATATTAGACGCCCTCGTCAATAATGTCGCTACGTTTTCGACAACTGTGACAATGTTGCGGCAACTTTACATCCAGCAACTTCAAAACCTGCATACAGCAATAGTACATGCGAAACGAGGTCAAGTGGTGGATCTGAGTCGAAGTATCTACGAGTTGAGTGTATCTCTGGTCGGAATGACGACAGCAACGTCAGTGACGGAGTTGCTGCTATTGGACGGAAGAAATATCGAGATGGAGCTCGCACTGCTGGAAAAGTCCATGCTCTATGGACTTATGCAGTGTTATGAGGCATCCCTGCCGAGGTTGCAGCGACATGTATCTAATTTTGACGATGAGGTCGAGACTCGGCAGCGTCGGCTAATTGCAGAGACCAGACAGACGTTTCTTCAGGTGTTGGGACGCTGTGTGGACGTTGTGCTGCACAATACTAACTCGGCTAGTGGAGAGGAGCTTTTAGCTGGACTACATGCTCTAAGTAATGGCTGTTTGGACGACGACGCTGAGCATGGATCGTTTCTAAGCGATCTGTGGTATTTGTGCGAGTATAAGAAGAAGATTGCGGACTTTTTTGATCGCTGCAAATTAGATGGAGAGAACTTTTCGTACCTGGATATGGTGATAGAAGACCTTCCGCGACGACGCATTCTTCCTACGATGCTGTTGAATGATCTGGCTGCAGAGACCAAGCCGCAGGCGATACTTTCTGCTAATTCGAAGGAGAACGAATCGTCTGAGACTAGTGATGTGGCCGAAGATGTGATGCCTGCAAGTGCTCAGATTGATGAAACGGAGGCGATGATGGTTTCGATGGTACATCAAGTGAAAGACTTTTTCCGGATCTGGGCGATGGCTATGTAGAGCTCTGCCTCTTGTGCTCGAATCTGCAAGTGGAGATGGTGGTTAATTTTCTGCTGGAGAACAACCCGCCACCTGTGCTGCTTGACGTGCCCCATGATTTGAAACGACCGGATTCTGATTTTGCGCGTTTGGAGGCACAGATCACTGGCAAACCCGTACCTGCATTGAAGATTGAAAAAGCGACGAAGCTTGATCCTAGCCGAGTATGGGTGGGCAAAAAGACGATGGAAAAGATGTACGATCCCCAAATTGCAAAGAAGGATCACCAATTGGTTGAGAAGATGAAACAGCTTGTTGTTATGTACGAGGAAGAGGATGAATACGATGGTGTGGAGAGTGGTGCACTAGACGAGTATGACGACGACTACAATGACGAGTTTGATGATTTTGTGCCTTTTAGTATTCGCGATGGTGGTAGTGCAGATGATCAGGATGCCATTTGTGAACAGAACCGCAAAATGCGTGCGAAGGAGGAGAAGGATGCATTCTGGGAAGACATGAAGAACCGTAATCGTGAAATTCCACTGGTTCCAGCTAAACAGTATAAAGGCGACGACAAGGAAGAAGAGAAGGATGATTTGGGTGAACAAAAGCCTTTCCCGTCTACATCAAGTCGACCAGAGTCTTCTACCGGTCCAAAAAACAAGTCAACTCGACGGAAAGATAATAGTAGACAAGGCGATGGAAAGAAGCCAGACGAACCTTTGACACCACAGCAGATCCAGCGTCAAAGAGCAAGAAAAGATAAGAACAAGGCAAAAGTAGCAAATCACAATCGAAAGGACCGTGCAATGAAGAAAATGGGCTGAGCTTTACGCTCGAGGACGTGACCTGCTGTAAAAACGCCTTATAAAGTATCGATTCAGCTTTCATGGTCATTTTTAATACCAAAAAATAAATGAGACTTAGGTTTTACTAATTATCGGAGACTAAACCTCCCATATTAAATAAATCCACGAAAATCTGAAATCTCCATCGGATTTTCCGTATCTTGATGGAACTCCCATTAAAAAATCCCCTCATTCCCGAATCTGCTATCGAAACGGATTTTTTGCTACGAATCGGATGAAATCCTTCCCAACAGCTTCATTACTACCCAAGGAGGAAACTCTGGCCGATCGTTTTCTTGAACAATATCCAGAATACGACGGACGTAATGCTGTTGTAGCCATCTTTGATACAGGGGTAGACCCTGGCGCGATTGGATTACAGACAACACCGGATAATCGTCCCAAGATTATCGATATTGTGGACGCAACAGGCGCTGGAGATATTGATACGTCCACTGTAATCAAGTCTATTGATGGATTATTGACATTATCCAATGGTCGTGTATTGACACTTAATTCTAAGTGGAAAGTAAGTGTAGACGGCAAATATCACGTTGGACAAGTCATTGGGTACAATTTGTTTCCTAATCCGCTAATAATTAGGCTAAAACAAGAACGAAAAGAGAAATTTGAGATTCAACAGCGACAGGCTGTGAATCAAGTCCAAACACAATTATTACAATGGAACAAGGACAATCAAGTGACAACTAATGACACAATCAAGTTACGGATGAAGAAGGACCTGGAGATGAGACTGACGCAGTTGCAAGAACTGAGTAAAAGTTATAAAGATCCAGGACCGATCTATGACGCCATTGTCTTTTATGACGGTGAATGCTGGCGAGCAGCTTTAGATACTACAGAGACGGGAGATTTTACAGATATTCCAGCACTGACAAACTTTAAGGATGAACGACAATACGCTACGTTCTCGCAAGAGTCACAACTCAATTATGTGCTCAATATCTATGATGAGGGCAATATATTGAGTGTCGTGAACGATGTTGGAGCTCACGGGACACACGTGGCTGGAATTGTCGCGGCATACTATCCAGATCAACCAGAGTGCAACGGTGTGGCTCCTGGGGCACAGATTGTTGCTGTGAAGATTGGTGATGGTAGATTGGGGAGTATGGAGACGTCGTCAGCTCTGAGTCGTGCAATCCTAGCGGTCATGAACTCGAATGTTGACGTCGTTAACATGAGCTACGGAGAATATGCATCGCAGCACAATTATGGTCGCATCGTGGAGCTTAGCAATGAGCTGGTTGACGAACATAACGTGCCTTTTGTGGTCAGTGCAGGTAATAATGGACCTGCCTTGGGTACAGTGGGTGCTCCGGGTGGAACAACGTCTAGCATGCTGGCTGTTGGTGCCTATGTGTCCCCAAAGATGATGGAAGCAGAGTACATCATGCGTGACAGCGGCCTACCAGGTATTGCTTACACGTGGTCATCGCGTGGACCGACATTCGACGGTGACATCGGAGTGAACATTTGCGCCCCTGGCGCTGCCATTGCACCGGTGCCGAACTGGACGCTGAACAAGAAGCAACTCATGAATGGTACGTCGATGTCTTCGCCGAATTGCGCTGGAAACATTGCGTTGCTAGTCAGTGGCTTAAAGGCTCAGGGTGTCGAGTACACACCGTACTCGATCCGTCGCGCCTTGGAGAACACTGCCGTCAAAATACCCAATGTGGAAGTTTTCGCGCAGGGAAAGGGTCTCATCCAAGTGCTTCCAGCGTTCGAATACTTGATGAACAGCAACGTCTTTGATGGAACAAAGAAATTTCCCCTTCACTACGAAATTAAAACATCTTCAGGCAACGGAAATGCTCGTGGCGTCTTCCTCCGTGATAGTGCCGACTTTGCTCATGACAGCTCTGAAGTCAATGTCAATGTGACGCCTATTTTCCATAAAAAAACTCTCCAAGTCGACAAGGTTCACTTCGAGCAGCATGTGCGCCTCGTTCCTTCTGCGCGTTGGATTGATGTAGGACGAAGCCTTGCCTTGATGCAGGACGGGCGAAGTTTCAAGGTGCTTGTAGAGACAAAGCATCTGACGGCTGGCGAGCATTACGGCGAAATCGTTGCTTACGACACAACGAATGAAGGTCGAGGGGCTCTGTTCACCATTCCGGTCACTGTGATCAAGCCTGAAGACGTTGTATCGACGCTCATCTACCAGACGAAATTCCAGCCTGGCAATATCTCTCGCCGCTTCATCACGCCTCCTGTGGGAGCTACATGGGCGGACATCATCTTCTCGCGAGCTAGCGGGAACGACGAGCGTGAAGTGGAATCCAGCTCGTCAGGCAAGTTATACATCTTCGATGCAATGCAGTTTCAGCCATTTGTGCGCCAGAGCCTATCGTCGTTTCACAAGGCCTTCAGCTTGAAGCCTGGACAGGAGCTCGCCTTTAGTATGGATCTACTGGGAGGGTTGACAACTGAGTTCTGCTTGGGCCAGTTTTGGAGCGCCATAGGAGACTCAATCGTGCAGATCGAGATTCGCTTCCACGGCATTAAACCCGACCAAGAGAAGATTGTTGTCACCGGCGGCGAAGAATCACACAAGGTGTTGGTTTCGAGTTCCGTAGAGACCGAGATGCTAGCCCCTAAAATCGGTTTTACAAAGTATGTGCAGCACATCCGTCCAAAGACGGCGGAAATTGCTCCACTGAGTTCAAGTCGTGACCAATTCCCCGACAAGCGTCAGGTGTACGAACTAATCTTGACGTACCCATTCACGAAGAAGGAGGAGGGCAAGGTGGTTCCACACTTGCCTCTCTTGAATGGTCGTCTGTACGAGTCACCCTTTGAAGGGCAGCTAATGATGATATTCGACGACAAGAAGCAGTATATGGGCTGCTCGGATACCTACGGCGATGAAACAACTTTAAAGAAGGGATCGTATGTCGTTCGTACCCAAGTGCGGCACGAGGATGTAAGCAAGCTTGAAAAGCTGAAGCAAATGGTGCTGCTTCTGAACCACGAGGTCCAAGAGATTTCTGCGTCCGTGTTCGGACACCAGGATGATGTCTCGCTAGGCAACAAAGCACTTGACAAAAAGAGCTTGTCAACTGGAAAATACGTGCCTCTTTTCGTCGCAGAACCTGCGCATGACAAGCTCCCTGCCGGGAATGCCGTCGGAGACATTCTGACGGGTAAGATCCACTTTGGTCAGAAGGATGGCGCCATTAAGGGGTACGTCGTCTACTCGCTTGATTGTCAAATGTTGAATGTCTCTAACGATTATGCTTTTGTTTTTTGTATGCATTACAGAAGTGGTAGACGCCCTGGCGGGTTTGATATTACGTACGTCATTCCTCCAGCGCCTACCCCAGTCAAGAAGCCTGAGCCGGACGAGCTGAAGGACGAAGCCGACGAGGCTGACGAAGAGAAAATGGCAAACGAAGCTATCCGTGACTTGCTGCTTGAGCGGGCGACAAAGCTGGTCGGTAAACCTACTTTCCTGCCTGCGTGGCAGCGCCTCGTGGACCAATTTCCGAATTACCTGCCGACATTACAGGCAAAGCTGCACCACTTTGACGACGAAGCCACTCGGTCTTCTCAGCTGGCGGTGGTGATCGAAAGTGCTGATGCCGTGCTCACTCGCATCAAGCAGGATGAGCTGGCGCTGTTCTTCGGCACTCGAAACGTGCCTGACGACCAACCAGCAGCGGAGAAGAAGTTGCGCAAGGAGAAGGAGAAAGAGAAGGCGATCCTTGTCGATGCTCTTGCACGCAAAGCTCGAGCTCTCGGAGACATTGCCCAATGGGACGACTTTATGCTCACGTATGCAGATCTACAGAAGTGGGAAGACGTCGAGGCGCCAACGTACCTGCACGTGGCGTTGCAGCATGACCGACACTTTGATGCTCCTGGTCTTGCACTGCAACGTCTGCGCATGGTTCAAAACATGGAGCAGACCGACAGAATCAAGATCATTTCCGACGAAAAGCTCGCGTGTGAGATTGTCAATACTCTCAATGCTCTGCAGTGGACGCACTGGACGAAGTACGAAACTCAATGGGAACGTCGTCGCTCGCCATCTTCCTACCGGATCTTTTAGATCCAGAGACAGCATGCAAGGACACCCGAGTTGTTACAGTGGTTTAAAAAGTGGACGAAGAGACCAGCCAACGCCATGGTGTTTTGATTCAACGGACTTATAAGCACGGAGAAAAAGTATTTGGTCAGTCATAGGGCAGTCCGTCATTTTATCCGTACTTATCCAGCATGGCATGTATCCTCAGTCACTTGGAACAGAAAGAGCTAAAGTTGTTGTCCCTAAGTTGCTAGTGGTGTCGTTTACTCTACATAGTGTGGGTCACATGAAGCCAACGCGTGACAATGTCCATTCATTCCTCATTCTTTGTGACCGTGCTCAAGGCATCATCATTGAACAAGTATTTCGTAGATTCCACGCACCATGAAGCTTTATCCTTTCATGTCACTGGTGGCAATGGTCACTCAAGTCTTAGCTGCTCCAAATCCCAGCCATTTAAAATGGTTTGCTTGCTCCGACGGCACGTCCAAAACAAGCGAAGACTCTGCTGCTCCAAAAGCGGAATGCGCGTTCTACAGAGCGCCACTTTGTTATCCTGGAATTTGTAACGCACCAAAGCACGCGGATCCGATCGTCAAGATTTTCGTCAAGCGTTTTCCAGCTGTAAACAATCCAGAAATGGCCTCGAATATGTGGCTTTTGCAAGGAGGTTCGGGGCATGTTTCTGCGAGTTGTAAGACGCATTTTGACTTAATTGATGGAATCTTTGCATTCTACTAACTTGCTTGAAATATCTTTTGGTTTGATAGCGATACATGCAGGATTAAAAGGAGCAGTGAATGTGTATACGATGGATCATCGTGGAACCGGTCGTATTACATTACTGGATTGCGTTGGAATGCAGCTCGGGTCTCCGTCGAGTGTATCGCAAGTTCCTGCGTGTGCTCAAGCATTGGAAAAAAATACGGAGATCTTGCTTCATTTTCAGTCACGAGCGCTGCGACGGATGTGGCAACTTTTATTTCTGACTTTACAAATGGGTTGAATACCATCGTGTGTGGTGTAAGCTATGGCACTGTGGTTGTGGAACGTTTAATGCACCTCAATCCCCCTCAAGTGACGGGGTACGTTCTGGATAGTATTGCTACGACTTCCGGAGCATCTCGAGACAAAACCTTTTTCGCTTCAGCTTGGGACTCGAATTTTGGAGAGGTGGGTGATGCCTTCCTAGCATTATGCGCGACAACAAGCGAGTGCAGCAAATGGTTTGTGTCGAAAAGTCTGCCAGCCACGCTTCAAGATGTGATTACAAAGTTTGACAAAAAACCCAAATCGACGTGTGCTGCTCTTGTGAGCAAGTTGTATCGCGACCAGAGTAGTGAGCCAGCTTCATACCTTCTGCGCCGGACTCTGTCAATCCTTCTTATGGACGCTAGCTTGCGCACACTAATCCCCCCTATTGTTTACAGACTGAGTCGTTGTAAGTCCAAAGATGTCGACGTGCTGAGACATTTCTTTATGGCTTCAATTGCAGCTCAATCCGTACCAAGCAACGACAGCGCGTTTGCATCGTTTCTGCTTTACTACCTCGTCGTCTACTCTGAGATGTGGGAAAAACCGACGCCATCGACCTCAGAAATGACGTCGCGTGTCACGAATGCGCTAATATCGTCTGCACAAGTGTATTCGGACGTCCCGATCTACTGTGCTTTCTCGAAAGAAAAATCCCCCGTATGCGACCAACTTGATGTAGGAAACTACGACGGCAACGGCATTATCTACGAGGTTGACAAATATTGGAACAAGAGTGCTACGATTCCTCCTCAGGCTAGTGTTCTTTTGCTGAGCGGTACATTGGACGTGCAGACGCCGCACAAATATGCTGAAAGTTTGCTGGAAGTACTTATTGGTGAGAAGAAGGAGTTGGTTGCGTTTGAGTACGCCACTCATAACGCCATAGTGTCCACTCCATTAAACCATGGCAAGGAGACGTGCGGCATGAAGATACTGTTATCATACGTGAAGAATGACGGCGATTTGAAGCTTCTTGACAAGTCTTGCGTCGATGAGATGCCCGCGTTCAGTATATCTCCAAAACTTGACGATCAGTACCACTATCTGAGCACGGACGATGCTTATGACGGAAGGTACAATAAACGTCTGTCTGCGAGTGCATCAAGCTGAAACTCACGTTCAAGTCCTGTCAAGTACCAATGCTAACTGCTTCGTTCTTGACTTGGAGTCACGTTGATAAGACGACGACTGCAATGCGAAAGCAACGAGGAAAGCAAGCATGTTGCTGTTAGGAATCCCTCATGTTGTGAGATGAATTCATTCTTGTTTAATACACAAAAGGACCCTACCATATCCATCTTGCGAGGCTGTTCACGTATCTTGTTTTGCTTCATGCGCAAACGGGTATGATGGATACGTAGGGAAACGTAATATGCCCGTCATATATATAAACCATGATCTCAATATTGGCGATTATGACGTTAGTCCCATCACTAAGCTACAGGCATGAAAAAGATTGTTAAAGAGCCGCCATATCGGTCTAGCATCATCTCGTCCAACATAACCTTTCCTTCAGCCATCCATACCAAACTTTTTACGAGTTTATGATTCCACTTGTCCGCGTGCGACGGCATTGTCTCTTCCCAAAGCGTATCATTCGTGCCCATGCCAGCAATGCTTGTACTGATAAACGGTACCACAGACGCTCAGTCTTGTAAATATTGCACGGGATCCAAAATAACCTCCTCAAGCCTGTTGTTCGCTGCAATTTCGTAACTACGTCGATGAACGACCTCAAACTCGATGCAAAAGTTCTATCGTGACTTCAATCCAACGAGAGTGCAAACCATAAGCCTATGGGCGACTCACAAATCGAACACCAGCTGCGACTCAACTATGCCAGATCACGCTCTCATGTAAAAGCTTGGTAGCGTGAGAATTAAAGAAGAATAGATATCGTCAAATGTGCGTTGGATCAGCTGCCAGCTTCCTGCACAATTGCGCTAGATCTGCTTCCATCGTTGATAGTAACACCTGTAGGCTTGTCCTCGTATATGGCAGTTTTCACATCTTCTAACAGTAACTTTGATACTCGAAGCAACACCACCAGCACGTGGATTGCGATGCCGCGATTTTATTCGAGATATTGCGCTGGTCTTATCCGTCAAATAATCCAAAAAAACTCGTGGTCATGTGAAGACTCGCCAGGCCTCCTCTTTCTTTATTAGGCATACAAGACAATCCTTAGACTTGTCCGCGAGTTGCCCACCATTTTGCCAGGAAGCGCTTCAGATTTTGTAATTGCGGCTCCCTTCTACTCGCTTAAAGTTTATGCTCGCCTCCCCCTTCAATGCAAGCCCGATCTAGCGTCTTCCTGTCTTTGCTGCGACGGTCGCCCTTGATGTGGCCGACTTTGCTGCAACTGAAACACGTGCGCGTCTTTTTCTTTGTTGAGATCTCGCCGTCGTGAGCAACGACTTCTCTTTCGAGCGCACGGCACTTGCGCGACTCAAGCTCCACAGACTGCGCGAAGTGGGCGAGCTCCTCGGCTTGATGCATATGGTCGACCCGCAAGATGTCGTACTTGACCATGAGAACTGTGCTCAGATCTGCTGACACGTAGTGCACGATGTTGTCGAGCTTCTATTGATCCGCACCGCCGCATGCGTCGCTGACGGCAACCAAATATAGATACACAGCTTCGCTTAGGGTCTTTACACGCCTTAGATAGCGACTGCGACGCCGTAATCATGTCTTGAAAAAAATCTACAGAAGCCTTTCCATGGCGTGGTCTAGTGTCGGTAGCTGCGTCCACCACCCCCCCAGCAGCAAGCGTTATACAATGCCGCTCAAGCAGTGTACAAGCAAGTCAGCTTTGACGTCCTCAGACTAGGCAAAGCCGCTTACGTGCTGGGTCATCGTTACCGATCTCTGAGAATCACTCGCCTTAGTCAAAAAACTCAGAGCCAAGTCCGCTCCCGTCGACCTTTCTGATCACCAGCTCCATCCACCAAATACGAAAGGGCCATGACGGCGTCTGTCATAGTCATCAGCCCACAAAGAAGGCACGGATGTGAACGACAGGATCCTCAAGATACTGATAGGGCTCGAAGGTCGCATGAAAGCGTCATAGATGGAGATTAATAAGAACAAGCGACTGACTTTTCAGCTCTCTGCTCGGTCGCAGCATGGGCAACGCTGGCTTCATGCACTTAAGTGCACTTGGAAACTCGCCACAGAGGCGACAACTTGCGTCACCGGCGCCGGAAGTGACGCCTGTGGTGAAAACATCTCTTGAGCCACATACAATTCGTTAGTGACACGCCATTGTTGGTGAGGGAGTGACCTCTTTGTTTGAATAATCCAAGCAGTTCTTTCGCTGTACGTGTATCGCTTATCACTGTTGTTATTACTATAAAGAGGATTCGATGGGACCTTGGATAATATCCCCGTTTCTTGGATAAAATATAACATTGTCATTGGTTCCATCTTTGACCATGTCTTTTTTGACGGCACAGCCGCTGGGCGTTTCGTTGCCTCCTCAGGATCCAAATGCAATCTCTGTGTCCATGCCTCAATGGTCTCACATCGTAGGATATGAGGAAGCACAGCCAGAGGTGATCAATGCAATGACCTGCGGTTATCCTCGCTTTTTCCGCCATCCATTGGTAGTGGAGCTCCAGACGTTTGTCAAGAATCAGATTTTCTCAGAAGACGATAGTGACATTTGGGAGTTGATGATCGTACCAACTTCTGACGTAGCGGACCGTCTTCGACACTTTTTGTTGAGTAGTAATTCTGATTCTGTCAAAAATGAAGATGTATCGATCCATGTTGTCAAAAATAGTGTGCACGTCGTACGATTCCCACGTTGTATCAGCCACTCAGCCAAACAATATTGGCAGCATTCAGGGGAGATTGTAACGTCACGACATGCTGAAAAGCTGCTTGAAATGCTCAAAAATGACGATTTTACGAGGCTGCCAGTACTGGGACATACTATCAAGCATTTGACGTTGAAGAAACGGGTGGCGGAGCTTTATTTGATTTCTGAAGATAGTACAAAAGTGGCTTTATACCCGACCGGTATGGCTGCTATTTTCTCTACGGTGAGGCTATTGCAGAAGCTTCAAGGAGGTAATTATAAGAGCATTTTAATGGGCTTCCCATATGTTGACACACTCAAAATTCTGTCAAGAAAAGAATGGTGTTCTCTTGGAGTGTATTTCTTTCCTATTTGTGGAGATAAAGAGATCCAGGAGGTAGAAACTATTGTAGCTAAGGAAAAGGTGCTTGGTATTTGGACCGAGTTCCCGAGCAATCCGTTGTTATCCATGGCAGATCTCAAGAGACTTGCCAAGTGTGCTCATGACAATGGAACTGTGCTGGTAGTGGATGATACAGTCGGATCGTACAATGTGAACACAATGAAACATGGCTGTGCAGACCTGGTGGCCACGAGTTTGTCCAAGATTTTCAGTGGTACGGGCAACGTGATGGCAGGCAGTGTGGTGCTGAACCCTGAAAGTCCGAGGGCAAAGGAGCTTGAGGCCATTTTCGACCCTGAAGGTGATGGGTTTTTGGTTGAAGAGGACGTTGATGCTCTGATTGAGCAATCTGAAAACCTCGCAGAGCGGCTTGCAAAGACGAATGCGACCACCGCCGAGATTATTCATCGACTGTTTCAACACCCGGTTGTGAAGGAAGTCTACTACCCGACACTTGGCGACGCTAAGAACATGTATGACCCTTTCTTGAATTTGTTGGAAGAGAAAGACAAGCCTCGCTACGGCCCTTTGTTTTCAATCGTGCTGCACGGGGGACTGGACCCAGCCAAGGCATTTTACAATGCACTGACGATTGCCAAGGGCCCGAGCCTCGGCACGAACTTCACATTGGCTTGTCCATACGCGCTGCTTGCCCACTATGATGAGCTGGATTTCGTGGAGTCTTGTGGCGTCGATCGTAACCTCATTCGCATCTCCATCGGCCAGGAGGATGTGGAAGTTATTTGGACTGATTTTGAGCAAGCTTTTGCTGCCGCTAGTGCCTTCGTAACGTCTGAAACTATGACGTCAAGTAAGTAGACCGCGAGGTAGACACAAAGTGACAGCCTGCGCCGAGTGAACTACAGCTGCCGCTAGTCATTAACGCATCAACTGTATTTGACGCGCAAGATACACTACCGGCAGCTCGAGACCGTTTTCCGCAGACATTACGCGTATTATAAGTGGAGGCATAAAAAACGCTTATGATGTGCTTGAAAGCTAAGTGACTAAACATTGCAAGTTCATTTTCTAGCATGTTGTTGTGGTGGAGCTTGGAGTTCTCACACATTTTTGCATCGTAACTTATTCGCTTCTTATGTCTAGCATCCAAATGTGAGCTAATAACGTCGCAGTCGCCAATATAATCGAGAGCCACAACGCCAAAATCGATGTATCTACCTAAAAGGACGATGAAGTTGACAATTTCAATCGCAGACCCAGCGGTGACCTAGTGGCTTCTCTGATACAATCTGTATAATCACACGCGTAAATGCACGTCAATTCTCTGCATGTAGTACATGCGTGATAAAGGTTTTGATCAAAATTACCTTCGAGGCGTGAACAATTTTATCACTTGTCCATGCTGAACTACGACGTTAGCACCAGCGAAACCCAATACGCCATGCTTCCTTGACGTTACGAAGTTTTTCTAGCACTTGATCGTGGAAGAAGTGCGAGACATCATCACTTGTACAGTCTGCTCGTTTTTGAATACCACTTTGTTACCTCTACCATGAGAATTTTCAAACAATGACAGCTATTGCTGTGCTGAGAAGACTTTACCGTGTTGTTGAATAAACTTGGCAAGCCGATTCATCTTCTCATGATGAAAAGCGCTGCTTCTCTGCTACGTAAAGCGTGTACTTCGGTAGTCGCATTGAGCGGTACAGGCGCTAATACCTTCATGTCGTTGATAAACACGTTTGACATCCTCTGTCTAGAAACAGTCGATTCAACCAGCACATCATAATTTTTGAAAAGCTGCGAGCAAGCTCTCCCAAAACAGCAACACTTGAACATCGTTCTATGCAGCTTTATTCATCTAACATTCACAAAAAAGAGATCACTTCATCGCCTCTACTCAATGAAGCTCTTCAAAAAATCGTAGGTTGCAAATTGCACGCCCATGTTGGGCACGGCCCTCACCAATGTCGGTGTAAGTCCTCGGTAAAAAACTGTCCAACCTTCATTCTTGGCCAACTTGACGTAGCAGTCCCATGCATTTCGATATTGTCGAGTCATTCCTCCCGCCCCTTGCATCTGAAGCCGTCGTCTTACCGTATCATTTGGGTACGTAAAGACAGTGGCCAAGACCCCTGCTCCTCCTCCACACAAGATCTTGGCTACAAAATTGACCTTTGGGTCATTATCATCCCGTAATAATCCCGTCAAAACATCGTACGATCCAAATTTAATTCCTTCATACGGCAAAGCACCAAACAAAGTGGGACCAATGCCTCGAAATAAAGCACGTGCACCTTCTTCCTTTAGTGTCCGCATAAAGGTATGCACAATACCCGTATACATTAGTTTGTCCCCAATTTGTCCGGATACTCGTGTACGGATAAGGTCCAGCGGGTAGGTGATAATTGATGCCGTAAAACCCGAAAGAGAACCTGCAATAAAGGACCTCCAAAAAGGGGGCAATTGGGTCCGACCAGAGATGTCCATGGAATAAAAAACGTCTTTATAAAAATCCGAAAAAGCAAATAAAACGGCTTTATGTGGTACAACACGAACACAAGCTGCCATATTGCCACGCCAAAAACCTAGAACGCCCTCACATGTCCAGATACTATGTATTGTATGCAGCATCCCGACACTCTCGCCCGTCTGACACACGATCTTCACGCGCTCAAAGGGCGCTACTACTGTCTTGGCCACAACACCAGCACCACCGCCTGCTGCCATTTGTTTCAGCTGCTTGGTGTCCCATATCGGGACGTGGGTGGACACCGTTGCCGTCATGGGCTGGAATGGGGCAAGGAAGCGACGGACAGATGACGATTGGTCGAATAAGACGACACGATTGGTCGAAAAGAGCGACACGAGCGGTAGGAAAAACCGGTTATGGTTGGTGGGATTGATAAAACCGGTTTTTTTCAATTTCACCAACCATAACGTGGACAGAAGTAGACATAATACCGTATGGAATTTATATAAGCTGATACTTACTTGCTAGTGCTAATATCGGAGCCGCCGACTGTTCTTGTCCTTTCTGCCAAATATGCCTTTTAAGCAATTGAAGGAGGAAAGATTTTTGCCAAACGTCCTTGCCATTGTATGTAGTGTTCGTAATCGTCTCACTTACTGGGTCTGATACGGGGTTGGAGGCCACGGCAGCCCCACCTGTATACCCTCCCGGGCCAACGGCTCGCTCTCCCCCCCCCCCTTGAGGTGACGCCAGTCGTAGTTTGAGGTCTGTTTTAGTTGGCAAAATGTATAACGGGAGATGTGTGACTTCCACCTGTGACTGCTGATGCGACTCCCACCTGTGACTGCTGATGCGACTCCGTTCTTCTCGGCATTAAGGAAACCTTTGTTGGTTCCAAGTAAAAGGACCGGGACCACGAGAAGGAAGTGGACGAGCTGCATGCTTATTTCGAAGAGGGTCGTTGTCTTTACTTGAGTGCAAGTTGTGAAGTAATGTCCGTTGTTACAGTCATTGCATGTTGTTCCTCACATAGTCAGTACGCAGTTGATTACGAATACTAGCATCATCATGGCGTAATAGCGCCGAATCGATACAGAATTAGCGTAAACATCTTGAAGCCATTTAAATCGCATTGAGTTTACGGCATTCGCATCAAGTGATTTGGCGTTTTACTGCAAGATACGAACGATAATGTGCGTGGGTATCTTGCAGCGAAACGCCAAATCACTTGATGCGAATGCCGTAAACACACGTATCGACCCGACCAGATTTTTCTTTATGTACTGTACAGTCGCTGGTAATGTACAGTATTCGAGTTCTTTTTCTGAAATACTAGCAATAGCACTATTGCAAAGTACCTAGATCAGGGAGCTGCGGCACCCAGCTTTCCTAATCAAGAACAAACTTTCTCCGCTTTTGTCCACGATTCGACGGTTCTTTTACACCACGTAAGGCAGATACCCGAGGTAATGTGCATTGTGTATGGCTTTACAACTAGGGAAGAGTGTTCTGATCTTCCTTAAAACAGCGGTCGCAATCTCCGATGGTGAAGGAATCCTAGTACCTCGTTATAGTCAAACGACTAGGCCTGCACGCTAGCTGAGTTACACAATCGTCGAGTTTCATCATTGAATTACCGTATTCGACTTAAGAACGGGGCTATATACTTACCACACGTTTCCTAAACTGAGGCTATGGGCTACAGCCTGCGACATGCAAGGACTAGCACCTCAAAGCTTGCATAAAAACAACCACTGGTGACTCAAAGAGGCTAACAACCTCGTTAAGTAGACATTTCGGTGCTATGTGTCCTTTCTGCTTGCACTTATGGCAATTGACTTGTTCGTCCAGCTCTCCTAATCGTCATACTTTATGGCTTATTCTGGCAATTGAATTCTTGCTTCAAAAATGCTTGGCGGTTTCGTGGCTGTTCTTAGTGTCATATCTTGCTATAAAAGTTCGTTGAATCTTTGTAGCGGAGCTGCACAGCTCTTTATCCAGAGGAAGACTTTCGGCTGGAAGTCTATTAGTTCTAGAGAACTAAATAGAGTTAAGGCTTAAAGCCACTTAGTTCTAAGGAACTAATTAAACGACTTAAAGTCACCCTGTTCTAAGGAAATAGGAGAGACTTTTAGTCAGCAAGCAATAAGCTTAAGTTTCAGAGAACCAACGCACAGAGTGAAAGAACAAGCTAGAAGCTTAGAGGTTCAGAGAACCAACGCAGGAAGTTCACAAGAGAACAAGTCAGAACGACTTGCGATCTTAAACTCAAAAGGAGAACTGATTTTATTTATGCTTTAAGATTGTATGAATAGTCCTACTCTAAGTATACTACACTAGATTAATTACTATAATAGTAATTATTATATGCAGACTTTGCTATTGGACGACGTATCGTCTAAACATCTGTGTATGATGTACTTAATACAGCGTTTGTGATTTATCGAATCCTAATCGATAAGATACGGTATTACCGAATACCGTATCTTAACGCTCATACTTAATCCCTCTCTAAAGAGAAGTATAATAATGCATTATTTGCAATACAAAGGGGAGTTTAACCGTAAACTCTCGGAAAGACGCTACAACCGTCGTGTAACCCCGTTACAATCTTGCTATATAAGTTTGTTGAATCTTGCTTGAAAAATGTGCAACCTCATAATTAGTTGCAATTTGGGTGGTCTCATCAACAATGATCTGACTATCTTCGTTAATAATGACCGACGTTTATGGCGATAACAATGATGGAAATATAAACGCTTGTCCAGTTCCGTAATGGACAACTACTTGTGACAGCAAGACCTGGAATCGAGAGACATACTCTACAATAGATCCGCTTCTCAGAATCTCGATATTAAAGCGTTCACGCAGTTATTGTGAAATAACGATCAACTAGAACTGACGATCCTACAACAGCGAACACGAAACACGGCGCTTGTATTCACAGCGCATCCGCAACTACATAAATTCCCATGGAGCTTCCCAATTTCCATTAACAACATGCACGCTTTCAAAACGCTACTGTGGTGCAGCGGGATTCACAAAATTTCTGATGTGATCCCGATTCTACACTGGCGCCCAGACAACCGAATATCGGAGGAAGTACACCGTTTACGTGTATAGCAATTTCTTCCTCACCTTGTATCCCTCCGGTAGGGCGGGTAGCACTCTTCTCGGTGGACTTGAGTTGAAACTAAACTTGACCGTGGTTGGGATTGGTTGGAGGCATCGATCGCGCGGAAATCTTCACGTGATTGAGAATTACTTGGGGGAACTCTATATGAGTCGCCTTGATCTCTCTTGAGATCGCCTTGTCCAAAATTATAGACACTTGATCCACTTGATCCAATTGACCTTCTGACCACTTGAGCCGTCTCGCAACCTTGTATCTTCTCCTTTACGTTATACTGCGTCCAATCGCAGGCGGAGTATGCTTGTTGTGAGAGTTCTTGTAATTCCTGGCCAAACAATCCAGGAATATTGCTTGTACGTAGGGTGTCAGAAGCTCTTGATCGTCGGGGGGCCAGGATATCCCACCCGGAGAAGTCTGCGTGCGTAGTCAGAAGTAAAAGAAACTCTGTTTAATGTTAACCAATTAAATATCAAAACCTATGATCTTGCTTATCTGTAGCTCAGGATTTATTGCCACGTATCGCCCTTTTGGAAAAATCAGATTGTAATGTGGTCCACTCCAATATCGCCGCGATCTGGATCGCTACCTCGATCGAATCTAATACCATTTTTGTATCGGATCGCGGTACTAATAAAAAAAATTGGATCGCGGTACTTATTTTAGTACTGGATCGCGATACTAATAATTAGTATCGGATCGCGGTCCGCCGGATCACGACTTGTCCTCTTCACCGTTCCTCGGGTCATGTGAGATGGTCCATCTATATGACATGTCATGTCCACCTCATTCCAGTCTTCCAAAGCAACGTAATCCACACCAGACCGTCTTCCACATACTTAGATTTACTAATCCTCCTTCTTAGCGATCGCGTTCACGCGGATCGCCATCGAAAAATACCGGAGATCGCAGTTGCGTAGTTCTAGGCCATAGTTGATTCAACATAGAACTACGAGAACCACCTTTGTCATTCCATTTGTGACGTCTCGAAATTGCTTTTGCTGGATCACGATTTAAAAAAATTGACCATTTCGGACTTAACCGAAGATATGCGATCACGCTTTGCCAAATTCACTCTTTCGCTTCACCACAATTCGGACGTTTCTTTCGCAACAAACGGCTAGGGCGGAGGTGCCTAGTGCTTTCGCACATGTTACATTTACGGATTTTACTGTTCTGCTTTGAAGCTCAAAGCTCAGCTTCTTCCCCTTCAGCATGGCTGAGTCCCATGGGCTCCGCCCTATTAGAGGCATTTGAATTATACCATGGCAAAACATAGCAAGCAGGTTTGGTTTGAGTTTGAGTTATCGTTAAACGCTATGCTCACTTCCTCTTCGAAAGTCGAAGGCTGAACACGAAAACTTCTGTCCTGGCTACCCCAGTACAAATTTCTTCCATGAAAACGGCTATTTGGATTTTTCTGCCATACGCCTGCTGCATAGCGGCAATGAGAGTTCTCAACTCTTTGAGTAGCATTGCCTCATAATGCATAAAGGCCTCAAGGCGAGCATTGAGGATCTCCAGGCCCTGGGACAAAAGGCCTCGATTTGATCGGGCCCGACGAACGCAGATAATTTATCTAGAGCGAATCTTTGCGCCTTAGATAGGTAATTTTGACTCTCCATCCTCACAGAGGGTCAGTCTTGAAGGCTTAAGTGTAAAATTGACTACAAGTGCTACCAAGTGTAGCGTAGCTGCACAGCTATTAAGTCAGAGGAAAACGTTCTAGGCTGAAAGCCTCTTAGTTCTATAGAGCTAGATAAAGGTTGACGGCTGAAAGCCACTTAGTTTCAAGGAACTAAGTAATTGACTACGAAGTCACCCTGTTATAAGGAACTAGGAGGGACTTCTAGGCTATACACAATAAGCTTAAGATTTCATAGAACCGACGCACAAAGTGCAAGAACAAGCCAGGGGCTTAAATTGTGTAGAATCCCAACGCACGGAGTGCAAGAACAAGTTAGGGGCTTTATTGTGTATAGAACTAACGCACGAAGTACACAAGAAAACAAGTCTTAGAGAGACTTAAAATCTGTAACTCAAAATGAAAACTGATTTTATTTATGCAGTAAGATTATCTTGAATAAATTCTACTTTAAGTACTTTACACTAAATTAATTACAGTTATAGTAATTGTAGTATGCCATCGTCTGTTAGTTGATTGTGGAATCATCCAATTATCAG